GCTCCCCAGTCCGACCCCTAGGCCGTGGCGTCAGGGAAGGCCTGTGAGGAGTGGATGCGGAAGCAGAGGCCTGAGCAGGAGTTTGCGGGAGGCAGAGGGGCCGTGTGGGTGGGCCAGGGGGAGCCAGCAGGCTTAATGAGAACCAGAGGAAAGCTTCGGCAGGAGCCCCACCGTGGGACGCGCAGGTGAGGAGCAGGAGGGGGAGCAGAGGTCTGGCCCTGCCCTGGCTTCTCGAGCACCGAGTGCCCCCAACATGTTTCCGTGTTCACTTGTTTCATTCCACGTCCCAGCACTCGCATGGGGGCTCCGCGGGGACAGACCCCTGTTGTCACTGTTGTCTGGTTGACCACTGTGTCCAGAGAGCCTAGGACACCGCCTGGCACACAGTAGGCGCTTGTAACATACGTGGTGAGTGAGCGAATGAAAGAATGAATGAATGGATGCGTGGCCTGTGCTGGCCCGATTTCTATGCCATGACACAGGCAACAGAGATTCAGACCCTCTGTCCTTATTTCTAAGTGACAAGCACAAGGCACCTTTTTGGAAGTGGGCGATCCTGCTTTTCGCCTTTGGGATTTATGCTACATTCTAGGAGGGGACAAAAGAGAAAGAACACTATTAACCTGAAGGAGGGGAAACATGTAAGGTGTCCTAGCGTGTGTGCCCAACCACAAGGCTCCTTCGGTTCAGAGAAGTGAACGTGTCCCGCCCATCACCTTCCTGACGCAGGCGGGAAAGCAGGCTATGGAGAAGGCCGAAGCCTGAACGGTTTAGCCACTACGTTAGAGGAAGCAGGAAAAAAACATCGCTGCTGTCACGGAGCTTAAGTTCTTGCAGGGGGTGACGCTCAGCAGGGAGCCTCACAGTTCATAATTTGCTAACACGGAAGCGCCGAGACGGAGGAGTGCAGGCGGGTGGAAGGTGCGGTGGGGCAGGATGGATCAGGGCTCCCGGGGTTCAGAGAAGCCTCTGGGAAGGAGACACTTGGCTGAGATGAGGAAGGTGAGTAGGAGCTGCAGGGGATGATGGCGGGGCAGGAAGAAACCCCACAATCCCAAGTGAGAGGGAGGGGAGGGCCCAGGGAATCAGAAACCGCCCACAGGTACCGGAAAGAGCAATGGTGGCAGTTCAGGGACAGGCAGGACAGGCAGGTGCAGGCGGAACGAGGTATCGCTGGACGCTCGAAGCTCTGTCCAGGGGCCTCCCTGTCTGTGACCTTCATTCTTGGGGCCTCAAGTCTGAAAACGCTCACTCCCCAAGCTGACACGAACAGAGTGGCCCTGGAGAGGCGGCGCGGGCAGGCAGAGCCCGCAGCCTCTTTCCTGAGGCCTCCTGCAGCGCTTGCGGGCGGAGCAGCGGCGAAGCCCGGCGGAGGTGGCCGTGTCCCTGCTCCGGCCGACCGTTCCAGACGGCCCCAAGGCGGGGCCAGCAGGGGTGCTCAGCGCCCGGAATCCGTACACGAAAAGACCGGTTTTTAGGTTTAAGACCTTTTACATCTCAGTAACTCTAAGATGTGAATTCTTTCACATTTTATTTTTTTAATCTTTACCCGAGGACATATTCACTGATCTTAGAGAGGAAGAGAGAGATATCGATGTGAAAGAGAAACATTGATTGGTTGCCTCCTGTACGTGCCCCAACTGGGGATCGAACTTGCAACCTAGGTATATGCCCAGATCAGGTATGGGATCTGCAACCTTCTGGTGCACGGGACAACGTTCCAACCAACCGAGCCACCTGGCCAGGGCATCTCTCCCATTTTATCATCTCTGAAGTTAGCATTCCCTCTTAGCCCGTGTGCCAGAGTTCACAGCATTTTCCTGGTGGCCCCCAAGGTCAGAGTGAGCCTTTCAAGAGTTGGCATCACAGGTTTGATCAAACACACCCTGAGGCCTCAGGCTGTGGCTTCCTGCACATGGAACTGACTAAAAGCCAAAAGGCCAGAAACTAACTTCTCAGAACTGTCCTTCCAGAGAAAGCCACCGTGCCCTGGCGGTTTAATGGAGCCTGGACTTTCATGGGAAAGAAACACTTTTATCTTGTTCTGTATCAGCTGAACTTAAAAACTAACCTTAGCTCTAAGTCTTGTCATTTTTGTGTGACAGAAGGCTTCCAGATTCTTTCCGCCCTCTGACCAAAGACTTTCCAACAAAACCACTGACTCCCATAGGCTCTTCCACTTAAAATTACATGTGGGACAAGGCCCTATTCAAAAAGGAGCACAGGACTTCAATAGACGTCTCCAACGAAGGCACAGGAATAGCCTAGAAGCCTATGAAAAGATACTCATCGTTAACCATCAGGGAAGCACAAACCAGAACAACAATATGCCACCCACAGCAAGATGGCGATCATCCAGCCAGCAGAAAACGAGTGTTGGCGAGGGCGTGCACACCGGGGACCTGCTGGCACCGCCTGTGGGGATGTAAAACGGGCGGTCGCTGTAGAGCACAGCTGGCCCTACTGCTCTCATTCAAAACGCAGATAAGATGCCTTGGGAACTTATCTCTTCTACATCCATAAGCCTGTGGTAAAACTGGCTGCATTATACTCGGCTCACTTAAAGTTGCAGAACCCAACTCAGACATTGAGGACTTACGGAACAGTGGTTCCTCAAAAAATGAAACAGAATTACCCCGTGATCCAACAATCCCGCTTCTGGTTCTCTAACCAAGAGAACTGAAAGCAGGGGCTCCAACAGACGCGTGTCCCTGTGCTCACAAAGCACTATTCGCAACAGCCGGGAGGTGGCAGCAGCCCGAGTGTCCACCATGGATGGATGACAAAGTGTGGTAGAGCCGCACAATGAAATAGTTCCTATTCGGCCTTGGGAAGGAAGGAGATTCTGGCATATTACAACATAAATAAACCTTGGGGATGTTATGCTAAATGAAATAAGCCAGTCACACACAGACACACACTGTGCGACCGCACTCACATGAGGTCCCCAGAGTTGTCAAGTTCATAGACACCGAAAGTGGAGTGGTGGCTGCCAAGGGCGGGGGGGAGTGGGGAGCTCTTGTGTGCGGGGTGTGAAGTTCCAGTTTTGGCTTTTTAAGAGATTTTATTTATCTATTTTTAGAGAGGGGGAAGGAGAAAGAGCGGGAGAGAAATACGGATCAGTTTCCTCTCGCACAAGCCCCCAACGTGCAACCTGGCCCACAACCCAGGCACGTGCCCTGACTGGGAATCGAACCGGCAACCTTTCGGTTCACAGGCCGGTGCTCAACCCACTGAGCCACATCAGCCGGGGCTGAAGCCCCAGTTCAGCAGGACAAAACTAATTCTGGAGATGATGAGCGGCAATGACTGTACAACAATGTGCCTGTACTTGATGCCACTGAACTACATAGGTAAAAATGGTAAATTTTACACATTTAAATATACATTTTTAAAAACTCCATGTGGAAAAGACTTTGTTCCTTCAGGTGCTAAGAAACAAGCAGCAAACCATGACCTGCTGGTGAATCTCCCCACAGACATGTATAGTTTGGATCGTACAGGCATTTGAACTTGAAAGCCTTTGGAGGGGACATGTCTCACCAGGTGGCCCTGGGCCCCACCGCTCCCAGTCACCTTCCCTGCCTGGCTACTGAACCATCTGAGGTTGGGACCCCCAAGAGAATGAGAGCAGACGTTCCCCAAGAGTCTGTGGCACCTATTACTTTGTGAGCGGCCTCTGCTGCCTCCGGCCTGGGGCTCCGCGTGCACAGACCTGGTGAAGTCCAGCGGTACAGTGCTCCCCAAAAATCCCAGGAGCCCCTCCACGTCCCCACCCCACACTGTCAGGTGCAGCCCAGGTGACCAGCTCTGGCCAATGAACCGTAAGCAGGAGCGACCTGTTTGTTGTGAGATTAATGGGCTGAAGCAACAGGGGATGTCCCCCAAGTTGGAGCCTTCAGTGGCCCAGGTCCCCAAGAGACAATGTCAAAAGCAAAGACCCCATGTGACCCGCCCTATGTGATCCAGAACAGAAAGGTAGCGTGAGCAAGTCAGCAAGAAATAAGCCTTTATGTCGAACCACTGGGATTCACTGGGGGTTCACTTGCTGCTGTGGCGTAACCTCACTTATCCTGACTAACACACGTGCTGTGCACAATGGGAAGAGAAAGGATTTTGCAGCTTCACAAGCTCTGTGTAGGAACCACGGAGACCGCAGCCCTAGATCCACCCCTCTATGCTGAGAAACCTCAGAAAATGCCAGTAAGCTTTCTCTGGGCTTTAGTTCCCCCTTTTTATCTTAGAAAAACAAGAATTTATCTTTCAACCTGGGGAGGAGACAGGAAGACAAGTGCTGCTTCTTAATCCAGGAGGGAGACCTGGGCTCTGCCAACCTTACTCATCCGTAGCGTCTGGGAGCGGCCCAGAGGGGGAGGAGGAGCCACCTGGCCCCGGGACTTCCAGGGGGCTCCTGTACGAATGAACCCAGTATTAGGGAGCAAGAAGGGGAGTGCTCACTCACCCCGCACTGCCACTTCAGCCTCACCTACAGGGCACAGCCTGAGATGTCAAGCCCCTTGCTGACATGGCTTTTTAACACTGACCTTGACCTCACCTTGTTTTGAGAACCCCTACCTCCACCTGGGAGGCCTTCTACCCAGAGCTGAGAGCTGAACAAAAAGCCACGCCCAGGGTGCTGGATCCACCTGGCCCTGCGCAGGCTGTAGGAAGTGTCTCTCCCCAGGTGAGGGGATGTAAGGCCAAGGCCAGGGCGCCTCCTGGGCCCTGTGGCAGCAGCAGGACAGACCCAGCGCAGGTGGGAACGTGGAGTGCAGACAGCATTGAGCTTTATTTCCAAACGTGTCACAGAGTGCCCTTACCTCCCACCTGAGTCCCCCCTTCTGACCCTGGGACAGAGACCCACCTGCCCAGCCTGGGAGGGCGGGGCCCAGTCCACCTCCGGCTGAGGCCAGGCAGGGCTCCCCTCGTGGACCCCCCTGCCAGAGGGGAGAGGCTGGAGGTGACGGCCGGGGCACTGTCCTCCTCTACGTGGCCAGTTCTCAGGGCCTCAGCCAGGGGGCGCAGGGCTGGGGCACCTACGGTTCTGACCAGATCGGGGTGGGGGGTGGGACCCGCACTGACAGGGCCTGGATGGTGAATGAGGAGGTGTCAGAGAGGGCCACTTTGGGGGCAGGTCACCCCAGTCCCAGCCTCATTCACTTCCGATCTCAGGGTCAGGGTCCTTCTTTGGGGGGGACGGGGTAGCGAGCATGGAGTGCTGGAGCCTGGAAGGGTGCCTTGGGTCAGGGCCAGCAGAGGGGGCCGGGCCCCTGCAGGGAGACACCCCGACCCTGCCCCGGGACTCTGCCGTCCCCAGCACCTGTCCTCCCGGGGCACCCGGACCATACCGGGTGGGCAGGGCCTGCCATCAGCTTCCGGTGCTGGGCCTCGGAGGCGACACAGGACCAGAGGTCCAGGCTCTTGGGGGCCGAGCCTTTCTCGGACTTTGGAGGGAGAATATCCCAGCCCAGCAGACAGTGCTGTGGAGAGCGAGGAGTTCAGGCGCCTGGCGTGGGGCAGGGCTCTCTCCAAATAGCCACGGTGTCCCCTGCGGAGGGCAGGGGCCTGTGTCTGCCCACTGGGCCTCCCTTTCCTGACCCCGCTGACCCAGGCGCTGGCCCCGACCCGAGAGGGCGGGGGGAAGGCCACGGCCCCGATGGAGCGCTTCCTGTGTGCCTGTGTGCCGGCCTCTGCCCCATGCCCGGCAGGCATCATGACGTTCCCTGAACTGCTCCATCCCCCACACAAACCTGTGGACAGTATCTTGTGCCCATTTTAGAGACAAGCAAACTGACTTTCCTTGGCACCCTTTCTCTTCCCCCTAGGCCCAGCTCCCCCAATCTCAACTGGGAGTGACTGGGGTCCCCACTGACCCCCGTCCTACCCCGGAGACACAAAGGGCATTAGGAGAGACGCTATGAAAGCATAAGGACCTGGGTTCAAATCCCAGCTCTTCCACTGGGCTGACCTTGGGCAAGCCACCTCCCTGCTGCCCCAGTGTCCTCCTCTGTAAAGTGGGATGGCCACGGAGCCTGCGCTCTCAGCTGCGGTGGGGCCCTAGAAAATGCCCCTAAGGACTGCACAAGCAGCACACAAGAGCTCGACAAACTGGGCCCATTTACACCAACGTGTGGGCAGACACTTCTCCTGGACCCCGGGGCGTGGGAGGGGTGCCCCACCTCCCCAGGGAACAAGCAGAGCGCAGGCGACGGAGACATCCTGGCCTGAACTCCGGAGAGTCCAGCACTCGTCCTCCTTGAGCTCAGCCTCGCTGTGAGGCCTTGGCACCGCCCTGAGCCTCTCTCAGCCTCAGGCTGCATCAGGGGCCCTGGGCCAGACAGGGGCAGCCCCACCCCCACCCCCCAGGCCCCACGTGGCTGCTCACCCGGGGCAGGGCCAGCGTGTCGGAGGCGTCGAAGCTCTTCCGCCGGTGGATGCGGTACCGGTGCGGGGGGTCCAGGATGGACAGCGGGATGCTTACCCTGAGCAGGGGTGGCTGTGGGGGCGTGGCCACCACCCCGAGCCCATCCTTCCCTCCCTCAAACGGGTAGGCCCCAGGCTGACCCCCTCGTCAGCTCCCGCTGCCCCCAAGGCTGCCCCCAGGTGTCCTGCCTGCTGTGGCCACTCACCTGACCTGCGCTGGCTCTGCCAGGGTCTCAGGGCCCCGCTGGTCCCGCGGTGTCCTGCACAGACGGCAGGGGGTGCCGGGGTCCGAAGGCACCGGGAACAGGCGCCGGTTGACACGGTAACAGTACACACCTGGGAGGCCCATGAGAAGCAGCAGCACCCCCTCAGCCCAGGTCCTTTGCCACCCCCAAGCACAAGGGCCTGCCGACCCCTCCAATCTCCCCGCCACCACACTCACAGGCACATGCACATGCGCACACATGGCATGCACACAAACTTGTGCTCACACACAGAACACACACTTCTCAAGCATGACACATGTGCACACACCTACACACCAGCTGGCACTTTCGTATGTGGAACTGCCATGTGTGCAAACATGAAACATGGTTTCAGGCACATTCATGCACATATGCATGTGCCTGTTATTTGTAATAACACATGCACAGGGCACACATACATGTGCATTCACACAAACACCCCTTACACACACATGTGCATGCACACCTACAGCAAAAACTTGTGGGCTCACGTGCCTAAGCCAGGACCCCTCACAGGCCACATGGGTACAGAGGGTGGGTGTGGGAGGGGGGCACATGGGAAGCGAGGCCACTGAGGAGAAAACGGAGGCTGCTGGGGAGCGGGAGGCAGGGCGACACAGGCGGACCCTGCCCCCACCTCCCCCCAGGGCCCGCCCGCCCTGCCTGTCCAGAGGCGCCTGCCCTCCCCGGGTCCCCAGCACCCAGCTGCCTCCCCAGGCCCCGCAACCTCGGCAGGGGTTTGCACTCACATTCATGGTCCTCCTCGGCGCCAGCACCCTCCTGGGGGCCTAGGAGCTGGGGTCTGTAGAACGAGAGCCGTAAGCCGGCCGGCAACAGAGCCCCGGGGCGGCCTGCCCATGGCTCGCCAGCCCTTACTCACGCGGGGTCACGGTGAAAGCACTCCTCCTTGTTGGCCTCCCGGAACTCCTGCAGCTGCAAGAAGAAGTCCTCGGGCTTGCGGCTGATGGGCGAGCTGGTGTCCAGAGACCCTGAAGCGGGCAAAGCACGGGGAGCTGCCCTGTGGCCACAGGCCGAGGCTACGAGGACGCTCTGGGCTGGCTCGCCTGTCCACCTGCTTGGCCCTCACCAGACCCCGAAGACCTGGGAAGGACCCTCTGCTCACAGTGACTGCTGGTTCCATCTCAGGGTCCATCTACCCTGACGCATGTCCAACTGTCCAGGCAAAAAATATTTACAGAGCCCTCACTAAGGGCCAGGCCACGTTTCACGTGATGAGGAAAGAGCAGGGAACTAGACAAGCCCCCGCCCTCATGAGGCTTACGTGCTAATGTGGTGGCAACAAACTAATCACCAAAGGAACACGTGATACAACACTGAATGGTTGACGCCTTCCGGGAAGTAAAAGGAAGCAGAACCAGGGAGCCCAGCTTGATAGCACAAGGGTGCCAGGGAGGCCTCTCTGAGGGGGTGACCCCTGAGCGGAGACCTGAAAGGAGGGAGGCAGGCATGTGGACACCTCAGGCAGAATGCAGAGCAAGTGCAAAGGCCCCGGGGCAGAAGTATATTTGAGGAACAGCCAAGAGGTAAAAGCAGCTGGAGGGGAGTGAGGGATGAGAGGGGAGGAGATGAGACTGGGAAGCCAGTGGGGGCTTGGGGACAAGGAGTAACGCAGCCAGATCAGCCACGTATTTTTATAGTGTTTCCCTATGGCTGCTGTAAGGTGAGGGGAAACAGGGGTTCCAGTTAGGAGGTGACTGTCAGATCGGTATCCTGGGAAAGGAGTAGTCGGACGCTAGAATATGGGGAAGGCAGGGTTACAAGGATGTGCTCATGGACTGGAAAAGCCATATGTAAAAAGGAGAGATGGAAATCAAGGTAGATCCCAAGGTTATGGCTTGACCAATTATTAGGTACTTAGAATCGTCATTTACAGAGACAAGAAAGACCACAGGTGGGGAGAAAATCAAGACCTTGATTTTGGACGTGAAAGCAATCTAAGGCACCTACGGTGCCATATCGAGAAGATGGCCAGATATACAAGTCTGGAGTTCAGAGGAGCGGGGTGGGCCAGAGATCCCAATAGGGAAGTCCAGACGAGCACTCGCTGAGTACTGTGTCTGTGCCTGTCACCGTGCCGGGGGCTGACAGAGGAGACATGGCACAGAAGGTGCTCACCAAGAAGGGCGGGCCAGTCAGACACACTGCAGCAGCGCCGGCGGGGGGCTCAGGCAGGTGTGTAGGCCAGCTGGGGCTCCCACCCCTACACCCAGGCAAGGCATGTGCATGGGGCGGGTCGCACCTGCAATCCAGTCATAGCCCAGGTAGGGCCTGAGGCGCCAGCTCTTCTCAGGCACTGGAGACTCCTTGCTGAAGGTCACTCTTGGCTGATGAGGTGAGGAGGGAAGGATTAGGCCAGTGGGCCCAGCCCAAATGAGGCCCCAGCTTGGAGGGAGGGAAGGGCTATGTCTTAGCTTATATACTGACATGGGCTGCAGGGCTCAGCTGAGGGCTTGAGAGCTGAAAGATAAAACTTTTGGCCCCCACCCACCCCTCTCTGCGTGACTCTGAATAAGCGCAGCCTCTGAACTTTGGTCTTCCCGCCTGTATAATGCAGCTCATCGCCTCCTTCCCAAAGTGCGGCCTGAGAAACTAACAACTGCCGCTTACCCAGCACTCAGGCTGAGCTGGACACGCCCCACGGTATCTCCCGATAGCCTCTCACCTTGCGAGGGAGGCTGCCCCATGAGTGTGCTTGTCGGACAGGGGAACTAAGGTTCAAGGAAGCGCCCATCAACGGATGCTCCACTCTCCCATGTTACCGTGGGCAGCTTGCTTTGTTGATCTGGGATGGACCTCGGGGCCTGAGCCTCCAGCTCTGCTGAATGTCCTGGGTCATCCGAGTCTGAGGTAGCCCCCAATGGTGCCGAGCAGCGCTTCAGGGACTCCTGATGCTGGCACTTGGCAAGTGGCAGAGAGATCACTCCCGAGCTGGCCCCGCCAGGAGAAGACATATCACAGGGGTCACGTTGGCTGGCATCCCACGGGCAGGAGGCTCTCGGGCCCACTGAGGATCTCTCTTGGGACGATGGCATCTCTGAAACGTAGCTGCTGCTGGAGTCCAGGCTTGCCTGGAACAGAGAGGCCAGGTCACCCAGCCGGCATACGCTAGGCATGAAGGCCTGGGTACTCGTGCCTGCTCCAGCCTCTGCATCCCTTCCCTCGCTGGACCTCAGTGTTCTCATCAGCAATAAATGGGCACACTGTGCAAAGTGACCCCGGAGGTCTGGATCCTGGCTGGGGGGTTAGCTGCCCCCCTCGTCCCCAGGAGCTCCTGAGGTGGACACCCACCTGTGCGGCCGCCTTGGCCACCGACCGCTGCATGGCATCCTGGCCAACCCACAGCTGCCTCAGGAGCTCCAGGTTGAGCTGCCGCAGCTGCGCCAGGTCCTTGGTCTCCACCTTCCCAGGCAAGATGTCCGCTTCCCACAGCAGATGTTGCCGACTCCTGGGCCGTCGAGTGCCCCCAGACCCACCTCTGATACCTGAAGTCACGACAGCATGATGCAGGGCTCAGGAGGCTGCCCTGTGGAGCCAGAGGCCTGGGTCCCAATCCCCCAGACTCTGATACTCGCTAACTGTGCAGCCTCAACAAGTTATTTAACCTCTTCTTGCCTTAGCTTCCTCATCTGCCGCACAGAGATGATAACAGTATACATCTCATAAGGCTATCGTAAAGATTAAATGAGCGAATGTGTGTTAAATCTCAGTACAGTTCCTGACACACAGGAAGCATGCAATATGCGCCTATTTTACTAACCTGGCCAGAGAGTGTGTCCTTATGTGCCGAAAGAGAACGATTCCCCTTTAACAAGCTGAACTATGGAACTAGACCAGTTTAACTTACAGAAAACAATTAGGGCAGTTCTGCAAACTACAAACGTAAAGCATTGTAACTTGTGAGTCCAATGCAAACCAGGCTTCTGAAGGGACTCTCTCCCCTCTCCTGCCCACCCTTCCTGCTGCCCTTTCTTTTTACAAATAAAGAAACCAAAGTTCAGAGAAGTGAAGCAACTTGCTTCATCCAAGTCACACAGCCAGTAAGTGGCAAAACCAGGATTTGAATCCAAATCTAACTCCAGGGTCCATGGTCAAACCAGCCTTTCCCTGGGACGGCGCCTCCTCCTGTTTTCAGGCTTTGCCCACCCCCCACCAGCCTGGGGATCCAGGCTCAGGGATGCACAGAGGCCTCTGGAAGCAGTTTCTGCAGGCTGGGGGACAGGCCCCCCACTCCCCTCAGACCCCAAGCCCAGACTCCCCTGACCAGAAAGCCTCCCTCAACACTCACTCTCCCACCCTGGCTGCTGTGGCTCAGCGGACTGAGTGCTGGCCTGCGAACAGAACGGACGCTGGCCCGATTCCCAGTCAGGGCACATGCCTGGGTTGCGGGCCAGGTCCCCAGTTGGGGGCGTGCCAGAAGCAACTGATTGATGTATCTCTCGCACATTGATCTTTTTCTCCCTCTCTTTCTCTCTTCCTCTCTTTCTCTCTTCCTTCTCCTCTAAGAAGTAAACACAATCTAAAAAAACAAAAACAAAAACAAAAACACTCTCCCATTTGAACCCCGAGTCCAGTCTGCCATGCACTCTGGGAAACATTGCCCTCCCACCCACGCTCCTCACCTGGGGACCACCCACACCGGGGGTGGGGGGCTCCTCAGCGTCTGGCTGCAGGGGCTAAGGCGGAGAGGAGCCAGACGTCCACTGGACACCCCACCCCTCAGGCACGCCTGTGGGAAAGGAGGGACAGAGGAGAAGCAACTACAGACGACTCTGTAGGGGACTCTAGTCTGCAAGCGGAACTAAGAGCCAGATCCGCCCTCCTGCGATCGGAGACTCGGGGCCCTACCAAGGGTCTCCGTTTCTGCACGGGGTTAAAGGGAACGGCTGCACGGCCCTCCTCCGGCTCCGGCCCCGCTCTGGAAAGCTAAAAGCCTCGCAAATGCAACGGGAAGGCAACGTGCAAAAAAGAGGCTGGGGCAGCAAAAGCACCAGACGCAGTGCCGGCGGACGCTGGGGCGGGACCCCAGGAAAGGGAGACCCGTCCACTTGGCACCAAGAGTAAGAGCCATCTTTCCCATTGCGGCCCCCGAACCCTCCGCGGGGACACACGCGGGGACACACGCGGGGACACACGCGGGGTCTCCTGCCGAGCACCCCCCCATCCCCACCCCCACCCCCACCCCCAGCCCTGCCACTCTAGCACTCACAGCACCGAAGCCTGCAACCTCTCCGCGGCCGCCGCTGGTACAGCCAAGACTTCCGTCCTGTCCACACTACGTGACGCCACGGGGGGCGGGGCCCGAACCCGCTGCCCTGATTGGTCAGGTGAAGACAGTCGCTGGTGAGCGTTTCTCTGCGTTCAGAAGCGGCAGTTTCAACAAAGAGGCGGGACTGAGAGAGTTATTCACCAACTGATTGGTCAACTCCCGAGATCAATTATTTTTCGGAAAGAGGCGGGCCCTGATTGGTCTGGACGGGGCCAGGAGGTTACGCTGTTTGGGGGAGGCAGTTTAGGAGCCTGGACCTGACAGTGCTTCTAAGCAGTGGGATCCCGCGGTGGGATAACCTGGGTGAGCGGGGTAGGCGGCGGCTGGGATTCCCAATTCTTTCATACTCTCTTTCAAGTACTTATTGTAACTACTTTGTGCCAAGAGACACTGTATTAGGCACCGGGAGACAGGTTAAAATTAAGAGGAGCCCATACCTTGCGGAGCGAGAAAGGCAGGGTAAAATGTGAATACAGTTTGTAAAGCATGAGTAAATTTATATGGAGTGCCTGCTATGGGCCAGGTATCTTCCATGTGTCAGTGCATGGCAGCCTCGTAAATGTGCTTTAAGGTGTGATTTATTGTCCCACTTTACAGACAAAACAAAAAACGAGGCCAGGAGAGCAGTGACTTGCCCAGGACATTTTTAAATAAATTAATATAATTCCCAAATTAACAAAGAGAGCCATCAGATGGCTTTCTCAACAGATGCAGAAAAAAGCCGCGAAGTATTGTCCCTTTTTCTTAGTGTTTGAAAGTGGGAGTGCCACGACCCACGCGGAGTGGGGGTCCCTGAATGGGAGCGATGAGGGGTTGAGAAAGGACAACACGACACAAAGACACAATACAAGACAATTTAGAGAAAAGCGGGGGCCAGGTGGGACATTGTCCTCTGATGGAGAGACGATGATAATGACCCGTCTCCGCATTTATTTCATAGGGGTTGGTTAGATAAAGCTGAAGGGAGTTTTGCAGGCTTAGGGGAACGCTGTGGGCACGGACTGTTCTGGTCCCAGGCTAACTACATGATAAAACTTTCTTCTGCAAAAGTTGCAGTTGACTTCAGCGGAAGCTTGTGGGTATCTACTCCCTTCTCAAGCCCCCTGGGCTCCGGCTGTTGCCAGTTGCCAGCTTGTTCTGCTTTGCAGATAACAAGCTGTCAAGCGTGGCTTTGCCAAACGCTTAACCTGGCTTTTGACATCAGCCTTCACCGTCCCCCACATGGGAGTGCCACAATCTGTCTCTTACCTTAGAGAGGTGCTCCAGCATTTGGCAAATGTAAACTAAAACTACAGTGTGCTACCACTACATAACTATATGTCTAAAATTACGGTATGAAAATTTAAAGACACTATACCAGGCGTTGGCAAAAAAGGGGGGAAGCTGGAATCCACACGATGCACACGTGGGAGTGTTAAGTCGTACAGCCACTTTGGAAAAACAGTTTGACAATATCTTAGGAAGTTAAATGTAAATTTACCACATGACCCAGTAATTCAGTCCTAGGTATCTGCCCAGGAGAATTGAAAGCACGTCCACACGAAGACTCGCACATGAATGTTCCTGGCAGCATTATTCATAAGAGCCACACACAAAAAATAGGAACAATTCAAGTGTTTATCAACTCCCAAATGGATAAACTAGATGTGGTATATCCATACAATGGAAACTGTCAGTAAAAAGGAACCAAGTACTGACACGTGCTACCGCATAGATGAAGTTTGTGAACATTATGCAAAGTGAAACAAGCCAGACACAAAGACCTCATATTGTATGATTCCATTTATATGAAATGTCCAGAAAAGGCCAATCTATAGAGACAGAAAATACATTAATGGTTCCCAGGGTCTGGGGTGGAAACAGGAAGTTACTGCAAACAGGCAGGAGGGATCATTTTGGAGTGATGAACAGGTTCTAAAGTTGAATTGTGATGGCTACACAACTTGTAAATTTGCTAAAATGATTGAATTGTACATTAAAAAAGAGTGAATCTTATGGTATGTAAATTACAACAATAAAGCTGTTTAAAAAAAAATACACCCACTACATTTATCCAAGGGGAAAAAAAATTGTCCATACAAAGAGACTTGCATGTGAATGTTCGCAGCAGCTATATTGTAAATGGAAATACCTGTGAAGAGGTAAATAAATAAACTGGTGCCTCCATATAATGGATAATACTCAGCAATAACAATGATATACACTTTTGGTACACACAACATTTGGATGCACCTCAAAGTAGGTATGCCAAGTAGAAAAGTACACATACTGTATATGTCCATCTGCATACAACTTTAGAAGATGCAAACTAATCTAGTGATAGAAAGATCAGATGGGATTGGGGGAGGAATGAGGAAGGGACATGAGGAATCTTTGATGGTTTCTCAGATGCACACATGTGGCCAAACTGAGCACACTGTACATTTTAAACAACACTTGAAATATGTGCAGTTTAGTTTATATGAACTGTATCCCAGTAAAGCTATTAAAAGATGTGATACCAGTAAACACACAAGAACCTGGCAGTATGTTTGCACTAGCTGTAAAAGGACAGCTGCCACTCTTACCATGACACCCTCTTGGGAGTAGCCCTGACGGGCAAGGATGAAGGTCAATCCTCCCGAGGGACAGAGCTGTGAGCCGTATAATCGGTCATCTGTTCATGACGAGGGATGAACAGTCTCAGGAGCAAATACGCACAATCTCCTGAGCGGTGGCCAGTGACTTGGGTGGCGCTCAGGGGTCCAGGAGAAAAAGGCGGGAAGACTGGGGCCAAGGAGAATAGGGGAAAGGGTAGGAAGATGAGCCAAAAATGACCCATGGGAGAGGCCACACAGGATTGAATCTTTGTGTCTTGTGTTCCAAATCCATCGGAGAATCTCCACTGCAGAGGAGATGGTCAACACCCGTCTGGCTGGATGACATGGCTGGTAGATGTCACGCAGCCTCCCCTCAGCCACCCTAGTGTAGGTACAATGTGCCCAAGGGCCGAAGGAGCCGTGATGATGGGGGTGAAGTCCACCTCCATCCAAGGGCTTTGGATTGCCTGATAGAGCCACACGGTAACTACACATTGCCTCACACCAAGGGACCCATTTGGGGACAAAGGGTCTCTGACTTAAGGATCTACTGATCTTACCAAAAACCTCAGCACCTAAGTGGTATAGCCTGAAAGGCTTAGCTCTGGGACCAGCCCCTGCAGCTCTGTTCTCCAGGAAGCTGAGGTATGCTGCTGTGTCCCCTACAGCTAGAATGTGTGGGTACAGGAAGCAGAAGGTGGGAGTAGAAGTCCCCTCTCCATTACTCCCAGCGACCCACTCATGGAATTTGTTTCCTGTCCCTGCAAACATCGGTACTGACGGGTTGGAGGTTCCAGTGCCTGAGGGCGGGAAGCTTCTTCCAGGGAACACAGTAGGGTCCCAGGTTCCATCAGTTTGAAGATAAGACCATCCTCTAGTCTTTGGTGGATCATCAGGCAAAGAGAGGTGCCATACCGCTGTGGGTAATAGATCCCAATCACTGTAAGGAGTCAGGGCTGCTGCTGCGCAAGGGGCAGGGGTTTGTGGGAAAAACACCCTCGGGTGTCTCCGTACCCAATGATATCAGTAAGTGGCAATCACAGCCTAACCAAGGCAAGACAACAAGGGCTCAGACCCCCAAGGATGAAGGTCTGGATCACCCCACCAGGCAATAACCAGACCAACGGCAGCATTAGACCGGGATAAGGGAAATCTAGAATGGAGGTGGACCAGGGACCAGCCGCTTGGACCACTAATCCTCTGCGGCAGAGATGGTGCTGGCTACCACCCTGGAGGGGACCCTGTTCCATCGGACTTACCCCTCCCCTCTTGGCCTTACTTGCCTTTTGCCCCAGCCCTGAGTGATTAGCTGCAAGCACAACCTGCCCGTGGCGTGCCTGCCCACGCCTGCCCACACCTTTCTCACCTCCACCATCTACGTCGCCCCAAGTTAGCACCCAAGCACCTATGCATGCAACCCAGCAGCGCGGAGAGCCACTCCCCCATGGGGCGGGTCTTCCGCCAATGGAAGAGGAGACAGCGCATAAATCCTTCACCCTTTCTCCTCCCCAGGAAATGGTACTGGGGCTCATTCACGGGGCTTCTTGGAGTCACCATCTATTCCTTCTGCAGTCCCATTTGGTGGCAGCCAGCTCCATAATGCCTCCTCCTGCTGGCTCTGTCTGTTTGCGGCTTCTCTCCCTCCCTTCAGGGTTGTTTCACAGAACAAAATGAGGGCATGCAGGAGCCCTCAGCTTCCTGGGAAACGCTGGCCAAGGCCCTGTCCACCTGCTAACTCCCCAAGTTGGAACCCAAATTGAACATGTCCAAACCGGAACTCCTCATCTTCTCCCCAAACCCGCGCCCCTGAGGCTTTCCCCACCCTACCGTGTGCTCAGGACAAAACCTTGAGTCATCCACGATGATGCATCATTTCTATCTTCAAAAGGCATCTAGAACCTGACTGCTTTTCACCACCTCCATCACACCTGTGCGGCCCGAGGCGGCACCCTCTCCCCCCTGGAATGTGGTAGTCACCTCCAGACTCATCTCCCTGCTTCTATCTTTAATCTGCCGTCTGCTCTCTAGCAGCCTGAAACCTAAGAAGCAGTAAGTCGGCTCCTGCCACTCCTCTGCTCAAAACGCCAATCTCCCTGCCTCACTCACAGAAATGGCCAGTCCTCACCCCAGTCTGCCTCTGGTTCCTTGAAGACACTGGGCATGCTCCCACCTCAGGACCTTTGCACATACTGGTCCCCCGAGCCTGGAATGCCCTGCCCCAGATAATCACAGGGGTTCACTGAAGTCTCTTCAAATGTCTTTTCAATGACACTTAATGCTGTGCACTATTGTTACACCCTCCCTCGCCCCTCCCTGCCTTGTCGACTAGTCCTTACCTCCTGACAGTCTTTTACTGGCTGGTTTTGCCTGTTGTCCGCCTTCCCCGACTAGCGTGCGAGCTGCGTGAAGGCAGGGATTTTCATCCACCTCATTCACTGCTGTACCTCCAATGCTTAGAGCCATGCTTATGAGCACATAGTATTTTGCTGAATTCATGAGCTTCCTCATCTCTACAGAGAAGAACCGACCGAGCTTTTGAGAGGATTTGGGTTCGTACCCAGAAGCGTGACACGTGATGAGCACGCAGTAAAGGCTGGCCCGTCTCACGTCCAGCCTAAGAGCCTGACTCAGAGACAGAAAACTGCTCTGGTGGACAGAGTGGGTTTAGCTGACATCTGTGAGGATGGCCCAGAGACACAAGCCCAGCACACACTCTGTGTGACTCAGTGGTGACACTGTGACTGGAGGGCCCACATTCCCAGCCTCTCAGTCTTCTCAAGAACTCAGTGGACAGATGATGTGGGTTGAGAAAGCGCAGGGGCGAGCCTGGCCTTGCCTGGGAATAAAGAATTCGGTGCGGGGTGAGGGAGGCTACGTGGTGTGGGACACCCTTCGGGCACACAGATCAACACAGATCATCGTGCAGGAGCTGGGGAAGAGTTCAGCGAGTTGCAAACAGCTGTTTGGTTTTTTTAAATTTTATTTATTTTTAGAGAGAGGGAGGGAGAGGGTAACATCAATGTGTGGTTGCATCTCACACGCTCCCTACGGGGGGCAGTCCTGGCCTGCAACCCAGGAATGTGCCCTGACTGGGAATCGAACCAGCGGCCCTTTTGTTGCAGACCAGCATTCAGTCCACTGAGCCACACCAGCCAGCTGCTGCTTAAGGAGAAAACACTTGTGGATTGCAGACAGAGTAACGACTGATTGAAACATTTTGGTTTCACTAACATATATGTACATTTACTGGATCATGATGTATTCCTAGTGGTGGGTCAGCGTAAAAAAATAAGCTGGACGGCCACTGGCCGTGGGGGAACTGGGCCTCAGACTCGGTCTCACCCAGGCGCCGGCCCCGAGGCTGGATCACTTGGAAGCCCTAGCACCACCCATAGGAGGTTTCCAGCAGCACTCGTTCGGTCCCCCACTGCCAGAGGGCTGTGACATGTGTGGGCTGTCACCAGGACAGGACTCACTACTTCAGGACGTGCTTACTGAGTCCTGGCTCTGTGCCAGCGCTCGTCTAGCGGCACGACAGGCAAAATACCTTGGCGCTTCAGAACCTACGTTCTAGCAGGTAGAGGCCTGTAACATATCACACGTTACAGGATGACTTGCGAAAAACATGCATATCACACACATTGCAGGGCAAGAGGCCTCAGAAGTGCCAGGAAACGGAAGGAGGGATTTTAAGTCAGGTGGCCTGGGTGGACCCAGAGAATGAGGTAACATTTCCACACACTTGGAGGTAAAGGAGTTAGTTAGCCGTGACAAGGTCTCGAACAGGCGGACGGTCAGGCAGGGCAAAAGCCCTTATGGAGAAGTATGTTGAGAAGTTTCAAGGAACAGCAAGGAGCTGGTGTGGCCGAGGCAGATGCAGCGAAGTGAGGGGCTGCCAGAGGCGGTACAGGTTTGGAAAGGCCACTGCCAGGACTTGAGCCTCGTTCTGGGTGGAAAGGGACCCAGAGCAGTGTGTCGAGCAGAGATGCAACATGACCTGAGTTCTATTTGAAATCTATGTCAAGGCCACTCTGGCTGCTGCCTGGGCAGAAACACGGGAGGGCCAGGGTGGGAGGAGGGGCCGCGTTAGGTGGCAGTAACCTGGGGGAGAGGAGTGGTTGTTTTGGGGGTTGGGGCGGGGGGAGTACTGGTCAGGGTCTAGAAGTGTCTGCATACAGAAACTGACAGGTCAGAGGCAGCACATGCACCCTGGCCAGGGAGCCCTCTTGGTCGGAGCGTCATCCCGATACACCAAGGTCGCGAGCTCAGGCAGCAGTCAGGGCACCTGGGAGGGTCAGCCAATGAATACAGGGAGAAGTGGAACAACCAAAATTGATGTTTCTCTCTCTCAAATCAATAAAAAAAAAAAAAAATGAAACTTCTTTAGACATAGCATGTGACAGTGGAGTCTGGAATGATGCCCAGTTTGTGGCCTGGGAATCTGGGAGGTGAGGCTGCCACCCACTCGGATGCGGAGGCCTCTGAAAGGGACCAGCAGCGAAGGCAGCGGGCGGTGCCACTGCCCAGGGGACAGGGTAGAGGGCCGGGGGAACCAAGGGCCCTTCAAAAAGAAGAGAAAGAAAAGGTCACAACCAAGTTCTCAGAAGGCAAGCCAGGGAGGACCAGTCTGAGTCATGACTTTGTAAGAGAGAAATGAATGGGTTAGAGATACAGTGAAATCTGTAAAGAAATCACTCTAGACTTCCTGGTTCTTAAAGATCAGTTACGCCTTCAGTTCTTCCGAGAGTGTCAGATTCCTTCTAAGGGTGAGGAGGAGCCTGCAGGCAAATTACAGAGCGAACTTCCCCTAAACCAAGCTAAGGTCATTTTAAAATACTAATCTGTAGACTCAGTTAAGTCAGAGTTTGCAGAAGAACAGTAAACCGAGACGATCCCACAAAGGGTTCCCAACCAGTTTTATTTTAGTTTCCAATATTATCAGCAAAGATACAGGAGTAATTCAGGCAAATATATCACCTTAAATACATGTCTTGCACTCCAGCAAACAAACATAAAAACAGAGAACAAAGTCAGCAGCATTAAAGTGTTTTTTGCCACATTTCTTTTAGAAAGTCTCTCCATCAGTGGTATAGATTTCATATTACTGATTGCATAAGCTCAAAATCCCATTCATTGCCCAGGGGCTACATTAAAAAAAAATTCATGTTTAGTTATAATTTTTTTTTTCCAAAAAGCACAAAATTCATTGGAACTGTGTGACAAGGATTTCCCCTGACACGCTGCAGGTGACTGCCACCTGGGCCTGAAAAATGCTCAGTGAGTCCTACCATGTGCCAACTTGGGCAACGTCCATCACTTCGTTCCTCACAACAGGGCAGACCAAGGCTCTGAAGGATGAGCGGGACCTGGAGAGGAGGCCCCTGCGTGTGCACACGTCCTCAGGCCAGAGAGTGGGTGGGCTCCAAAGAGCAGGGCGAACCCCAGCTCTTGCCTAAGCCCCGCCTCTTGCTGGAAGAGGCTGCTTGTTTCTAGCACATTCTCCGAACTGTGCTGCAAAGGCTGTCCCCAGAGGCGGTTTGCCTGCACAGTTAACACACTGGAGACAGGAACCTGCCCCCTCTTTAACCAACAATCCCTAAACCCAACAACGGAAAACATTCAGAGTTAACAAGAGGCCACGTGCATGTCAGTCGGAGGCTCCGGAGATTGGGGAGGGCGGGAGGCCAGGTCCCAGGTCTCTTGGCCAAATGCAGTGGCGATGGCACAGGAGACTGGGTCCAGAGGACAGGTAGCCAAGGGCGGCTTGGACCAAGCCCGGGATAGGGACACGACTCTTAAAGGGCATAAGAGGGATGCAATCAAGCTAGTGGGTTCTCAGACCCCGTGAGCCCTGCAGAGTGAGGTCAAACGGAGGCCCCGCTCTGCCCCGCCTCCACCTTCTCCCGCCATCCCGGAAGGGGGCCTCCTCTCAGCCCGCTGCCAACATCCTCTTCCTTCTACCATCTTTCCTTCTCCCACATCCTTTGACGACCAGGACCAAACCTTCTTTCGCTAATAATAAAACCAGATTACGCAGGCCAAGGACCGAAACTAGAACAAGGGATGCAATGAAGAGCAAGGTGCCCGTCCCTCCTTGTCGCGGTAACAGCCATGCCCTCGGACAGCACCGGCATCGGCAGGGAGACAGCCCTCCACAGACGAGCGCCCCGGAGCTGCTCTCACCACCTGGTGAGAGCACCTTTCTTCCCCCTCATGGCACAGGGCCCACCTCGCCCACAGCCCAGAGCGCCCGTAAGGAGCCCCACCACCAAGGTGCATCTGAAAGGCTCTGCCCACGGGACAGAGCGTGAAAGCTTATGGGCTGAACTGACACAAGCCACAGTGCTTCCGGGACAGAGCCTTGCCAATGCAATCGGGAAAAAGCCAACCGCCCCCTGAGGTGGGGCCCTCCCGCAGGTGTGCCAGGGCCCAGGGAGCACAGGGACGCACGAATCAGCTGTAGTGTTGGCCGGAGCAGGGGCGTGTGCCCGACGCCCCAGAGGGCTCCAGGCAGGCGTTTCGTGATGCTGGAGATTCTGGGACCCGATCAGGCGGCCCCAACAAAGCAGAGAGAAGACTCGACCCAGCTCCTCAGTGCCATGCTGTCCACGGTCGTCATTTAACAAGCCTTCTTTAGGGGGTACGAGCCACTAAAATCTTCCTGCAGCAGCAGGCGAAGGGGCGGGGGGCAGGGCGAGGAACTAGTGTGGGCGGGGGGCAGGGCGAGGAACTAGTGTGAAGGGCTCAAAACGGTGTGAAACACTGGCGCTTTCATTCTCACGGCGGGCCGGCCAGAAGCAGCGTGGGGCCCTGGTGGCGGCCCCCGCTCCATGGCTGGCGCCGCCGCCCTTCTCCACGCAGGCTCCGGCGGCCCACTATCTGCTGGGCTGCAGGTACTGGTGCATGAACATGTTGAGTTCACTGTCCATCCAACCGCCTTTATTCCTGCAGGGAAATGGTGATTTTGCAGCGGTACCAGCTGACAGCAGGTAACATGAGCAGTATGTGTCAACCTGTTCCTGGCAAAACCCCATCCAAATCCCCCTCCTTACAAGGGAGGAAAATGAGGCCCAGAGAGGCGAGTGAGCTTCCTGCAGGCCTGACCCTCAAGCCATGTGTGCTTCGTCCTGGGACCACGTGCAAGCCCACGAAATGGTGGGGGCCCAGTCACCCTGCCTGTCCTGTTTCAGCTCACCCTGTCCCCAAGGCTGACAGGCAGTACACACTCCCCACATGCACCCTGAGAGTCCCCAGGGGATGAGCATGTCCCTAGGAGCTGGCTGCCCCCGGTGGTGGGCGGGGAGGGCACAGCCAGGGGAGGGGAAGTCCACCCCCTGGGGCTGGAGCCCATGCCCAGTGACGCAGCTCCCCGCGTGCTGCCGTCACAGGCGGGGGCAGGAAGCCCAGAGTCCCCGCGGGACCTCTGCGGAACACCAGCGCGTTCAGCCCTGTGGCTGTGTCAGGGAAGCTCACTCCATTTTACAGAGCAAAACAATGAGACATAGGGAAGCTCAGGGATTTGCCCGAATGCAAGTGCCTGGACCTGAACCAGGAATTCTGACTTCTCAGGTCAAAACTCTCTCCAGGAAACTCAGTTTTAACAGAGACCCCACACAGATCTGAGTTCCAATCCAAGCCCTGCCGGTTGTCTGCTACCAAAGCAGCTTCCTTGTGGGTAAAAGTGCGGATGTGCCCCCTTTCCTGAGCTCAGAGAGGGAGTAAACAGTGTGCAGAGGGTCTGGCCCAGGGCGCCAGCACACAGCACACAGGGTCAGAGGGCACTGTGGCCAAGCGCACCTGCGCTCTTCCCCCAGCCTACCTACCATTCACCGTGAGAGTCCCGGCAGCTACTTAACCTCTACAGCCCCGATTTTCCGTTTTCTAAAACGGAGGTGGCAGCGCGGCCTGGGAGGGATGCGGAAGGTTGAGGGGAACACTCCTGTCAAGCACCCGAGACGCCGCGTTAAGAGAAGGTGCCAGTGAGCTGTGCCTCACAGCCCCACATGGCTCGGCTCCCCTGCTGCCGCCATGGCCAAGACAGCAAGCGCCTGGGGGGCCAGTGACTGCGTCTCGCTGAGCCTCTAGCACTGGCACCACCCTGGGCACCCAGCAGGTGCTCGGCAAACGTCTAACAGAGGAGGGGGCTAAATCCCCAGCAAAGAGATGTGTCCACGTGAAAGACACAGACAGGCACCTGCGCTACCACGGCGCCTACGCTGCACACCGGAGCCTCCAGCCGCCCGCTGCCCAGGCCAGGCTCACCTGAGCAGTTTTGCTTTGCTCTGAAGTGAATCAAGAACCTCAATTTTCTGGTTCATAGCAGCAATTTCCTGCTCCAGGTTCTCCCGGGTGATGTCGACTTGCTGGCACAAATGAGCAAAAGTCCCAGACAGTTCCCTGAGGAGGAGAGTCGGTGTCAACCTGGCATCGCGGCTGTTCTGCAGAACGCCACCGGTGGCTCAACCCAACCCACCCGGAGCGGGGCGGCGGCCCAGCCCATCTGTCACCCGCCAGCGGCTCTGCCCTGTCCCCTTCATGGCTGGGCATGATCCTCGCTGCCCCCGCGGAGACCGTGCATATCCCAGACCGCGCACATGCAGTGAGAACCGGGAGCACAGGACAGTAAACCCCGGTGTGGGCTCAAGAGATGAGGAATCAGATGTTGGTTCTGCGGCTCATCGGCCCAATGACAGGTGACAAATGACTACTCTTCAAGTCTCTACCTCTTCATTTTGAAAAAGCAAATGCCTAGAAAAACATCTACCTCCAGGCCTGACTGGTGTGGCTCATGGAGTGGCCGCCGTCCCACAAACCACAGGTCGCCAGCTAGATTCCTGGTTAGGGCACCTGCCTGGGTTGCAGGCGTGCGACAGGCAACCAATCGATGTTCCTCTCACACATCGATGTTTCTCTCTCTCTCTTCCCCTTTTTATTTATTTTAAAAATAAGTAAAACCTTCTAAAAATTTCTTTAAAAGTCTGCCCCAAAAGGGCTGGAGGAGAAAATGCCTAGTGAGGGGCCTTCCACACTGCAGCCGGCATTCACCCCACAGCCCAGATCAGGGGATCCGTTCCCACCTGACTTGAGATGTACCATGAAGAGTGGGCTGTGTCTCACGACTTAAAGCTGCATCCACAACCCAAGCCCCTCAAGGCACCTTTAAAAAATCCTGCAAGTAACATCTCTGATCTTCCCATGTCCTCCTTCCTTGGGGAACCAGACTCCTACTTGGTCCCAGCCCAGGACATACATGTCCTTGGAAAGAGGCTTCTCCCAGTCCCTGGCCTCAAGGGAGCACTGCACAGCTGAAGGTCAGCGTCAGGCGGTGTTTGGGACCCAGTGGTTTCCAGGCCCGGCTTAGAAGGGAACCCAAAGGGAAGTCCTGCCCCCGGGAGCTGGTGCTGGGCTACAGGCTGCCGGCCACTCACTGCTGGACTTGGTGGCTGCAGTTGGAGCCGGTGTAGCTGATGATGAGCTGCAGCTTCTCGCTGGCGTACTCCACAAACTGGCGCTTGAAGGCCCTCTCCTTGGCCTTTGTGGTCCAGGTCAGACGCTCATAGACGTAGAGGAGGCCGTAGAGCCCAAAGGACAAGGCGATGAGCCGCCAGCCCACTGCCTTCCACACCTGCAGACACACAGCGGTCAGCCGTCGCAGCCTCTCTGCCATCCCACCGCCCGCCTCTCGGCCTGTCCCTGCCAGGACTGTTCCAAGAGCCCTTTGTGCTTCGACTCAGAGCACCTCTTTGATGTTTTCTTTAATCCCGCTGAAAGTTTAAAGTGAAGGAAACCTAGGGTGCGCACACGTGTTGTGCACAGCAGGGATGGGGGGAGTTGGGCTGGAAGCACAGACTCAGGCACCCAGAACTCTCAGAAATGCACGTGCTGAGGACACTGACAAGTCGGATCCCGCACAGTGTCCCTCAGCAGACGGCTTCTCTCCTGGTCAGGTACGGAGAGCTTTGCTTCAAGGCACTGTGGCTACGCTCACAGAGCACCGGACTTGGAGCCAGAAATCCGTGGCTCTAGTGCTGCCTGCCACCCTGACTGCGTGACCTTGGGCAGGTTTCTGTACCCGTTTCCTCACAGAGCCAGCATAATGGCCTTCACCCAATTCACAGGGTTGTGTGGGTACAACCAGACAGTGTAAAGGGCTTCAAAACCACCAGGTGTCGGCGTCTCAGATGATGACCCTTGGCCCGGTCACATCTGTGAAAGAAGACCCAGAGCGGGTGGCTGGGGGGGACAGGGGCCTTGCTGTCTCACCCTAGACTCTCAAGCTGAGAGCTCAGTTTTGTTAGATACATTCTGCCACCCCTTCTACAGATCAAGTGTCCAGGATCCAGAGAACTTACCCCATCATCAGGAAAATTCTAGGTGTGAGCTGCCCTGGCTGCAGTGCCTCCTGGATCAGGAAGTACAAAATACCGCAGTGACCAAGGAGGCAGCCTGCAATTCAGGCCTTAGGGTGGAAAGGGCCATAAAACTAGGAGATGGGGATCAAGGGGTCAGGCCTGGGCTTGGCCTCTTGTCTTAAACCCTTTCAAGTCTGCTCTTGATTTCCCTGCCTACGAATGAGAAACTCCTGACCATGCCCACCTCTCTGGAACCCAGGCCTGTCAACTTCTTGGGTCATTCCCTTCCCGCCCCTGCAGAGGAAAGGATATGGCCTTAGGGGCAGACAAAGCCAGAGTCCAAACCCTAGCTGTGTATCTTCGGCAAGCTAACCACAGACCTTCCTCCCCGGTCAAATGGGAACGGTGCTGCCTGAGTGCCACCTGAGTGCCACCCGAGTGTGACAACTAAGTCAGCAAGTGTATGTTAGAGGGCTGAGGCCGCGGCGTTCCCCGCAGATCAGCAAGAACGGGGACTGATGGGGGTGGAAACGCCGTGCCAATACGGGGTCCACCAGCACTGTGCCCCTCAGGCTCCCACCACCTGTCCCCCCGCCTCCCACCCTGCCCGAGCGGGGCGTGTCACTGACCACGCCTCCAACCACCAGAATGCCCATGGAGGTCCTGGACGTCAGGGAGGCCAGGCCGGTGACCATGGAGACCATGAGCTCCTCCTGGGTGAGGGAGCCCTGCGGCAGAGGGGGCATGCTGGGGTTGGCTGGCGTCAGAGGGACGGGGCGCTGAACCTGAAGGGAGAAACGAGGAGAGCGGTGAGAAGAAAGGGGCTCAAGCAACGGAACCCCCAGGGACCCTTGAGGCTAGGGGTCCTGAAATGGGGACAGAGGTGGCTTTTTAATTTCCAAAAGGCCTAAATGGGGAAAAATGGGCTTCGCAAGTTGCAAAGAGGATTTAAGCTTCATAGGAGACCTGCCAGCCCAAAGGTGAGCATTGCGGGATACCCCAAGATATGAGCAGTGCCCACCCTGGAACGCTTTAGTGCCCCAAAGTGTAGGACACGCACCAAGAGCAGTAGGTGCAATAACTGAAGTGGGTACAGAGAGGTGATGTAAAATCTAAATATTAAAACAATAAGAAATTTTATGCCATCTAGATTTAAGTTACAAATTATTATGTTACTTAAAAATAATTAATATAATTTAATAATACTAACAGTTACTTTAACGTGCATTAGAAAAAATACAGCTAGCACTTATAATTTCACAAATATTAGTGGTTAGGGTTAGCTTAATCTGTGGGAAAACCTTGACCAAGGTGTGGCACGGAGGCGCGTGTGCCACAGCTGCTGACCTTGGGGCCCTCCAGAACACTCCGTGCATCTGGACACGGGGTGCAGACCCCTCCCCCGCACTGCCCGAGGGCGGGGCAGGGCGGGGCTTGCCTGGTCGTTGTAGCCCATCAAGGCCCGGCGGCTGCTCTTGGGGCCCAGGAACCTATTCACTAGCATGGTCCACCCGAGGGAGAAGTGGAACTCGATGTCCTCCTGAAAGTCGGCACACAGCTTGTCACAGTTCAGGTCGTAGCTGAGAGAGAAGCACTGCCGAGGAACCAGCAGGTCAATCTGACTCCGCGCCGACGCAGGAAGGAGGGGCTTCAAGCCGTCTGTCGGGGAGAGGGTGGGGCGAGGGCACCTCAGCTCCACCCTGAGCCACTCCAGGGCCGAGCCTCAGAATGGGCGCCACGCCGGTCGTGGCCAAGGGCGCTGATGGTTCTGCCCAGAAGCCAGGCCCGGATGAGAGGGCCTGTGGGCCGGGGGCGCCCCGCTCGGGGCCGGGGGCCAGCTCTCCTGGGGGATGCAGATCCGGGCTCTATCCCTGCTAACATTTATGCCTCACGTGGGCTAAGAAGCAGGTCAAACTCTCAGCTGTTGACAGTCCTGTGTGGTAACACAAGACGGTCCTGAGGTCTACGTGTGGAAGGAACTCATGACACCACCCAGAACCCGAGGTACTGAGGGGACTCATAAAAGGTGACAGATAAGGAAGGGTCGGTTTCTGTAGCCTGGCCTCCGAAGGCGAGCTCTGGGCAGCCCAGCGTGCGGACCCGACCTCCCCTGCGCACTGACCTATCATCTCCTGCTGCATGGTCTGCAGGGAGCTGGTGATGGCCGTGGAGCAGCGGTCTGACATGTTTCGGCCCAGTCCTTCCTCTATATGGCGGTGCAGCTCCTGCAACCAGAAGACAGATTGAGAGAAGCCGCACCCCGGTCATGACTTCCTTCTGGGGAGCCGAGGGACAAGGAGATCCGAGGCTGGTCAGCCCATATCCACCAGGGGACCCTGGAGAGCTGAGTGAGGCCTGGGTCCCCTCTCCTGGCTGAGGAGCCCCAACACAGACCAGCAGGGACCGAATCACTGCGTGTTTGGAGAGTCCACCCAGCAGCCAAAGGAACGGAGTGGGTATTTAACCAGAGCACTGCTGCTTAATGACTCACATTCTTATAAACCTTGAGGACGACTGGGGAAGGGTGGAAATCCATCTGGTACTCGTCCACCAGCACCGAGAGGCGCCTGATCTCCTCGGCCATTGCTGTTGACACCTACAGAAGGCAGCGTGGAGGTTTCAAGAGCGTGGCTCGGGCCCACAGTACCGGCCAAGTGCCTCATAGACTCTGATGTACTGGGTGCCCCTCTCCTAAGGCAGCGGTTTCCTCAGCTCAGCTGGCCATGGATTCCAGCTTTTGCGGTAGAAGAGAGTGAGCGGCTGGCTGACCAAACACTCATCTAAGATCTGGAGAAGGAGGTCCAGGAGGGGGCCTGCCCAGGGTCACGCCATGGGACAGTGGACCCAGGGAGGGCTCTTCATTCTTGAATCAGGGACACGGGTTCCTTCCGAGAGGCTGAGAAGCCCCCGAAGATGGAGGCCGCTTTTCTTCTTCTCCGGCACCCTGGATTCTACTTGAGTCCAAACCTCCCCAAGCACCTTCTCGTCTCTCACCTGCCTTTCGACTTCCTCCGTGATCTGCCTAATTCGCAGTTTGTAGTCTTGCGCCAAGAGCTCCAACTGTTTGTCAATAAATCTCAGTCGCTCCTGCCGATCCTCGCGCATTTCCAGGCAGTAAACCCTGAGAGAAAACACGCTGGTGACACGGCCCAGGTCCCCACTCGACTAGGCGGAGGAACAAGAGGGGCCGCTGGAGAGCCTGTGTGGGCCCCAGCAGCGGTCCGGCCGCAGCAGGTACTGGGCAGTTTCACCCCCACACCCAGGTATGTGCCCCTCCCCTTCCCAGGTGCGAGGGAGAGGTGGGGCCAGCTGCTCACTCTCAGGTCCTTTATTTGGAAGATGTTGCAGTGACAGGGCGGGGGGTGGCTTCTGGGGGTTTAGGACAAGCTCTGACAATTAATGTGGGGAAAAAATGCTCAACCCTAGAAGCCTGGCAAAACTCACCCAGTCTGAAGTAACCTAAGGGCTGGGGAAATGGCAGTTCCAGCACATACTGCTGGATTTACATGTTTCGGAAAGGAACAAAGCAAAACTGGGTAAAACCAAAAATGCATATACCCTAAAATGAACAGCTCCACCTCCAGGAATTCATCCCAGAATGGCGAGTACAAATGTGCTGGAGGGGCACATAAACTGGTGTCCACTGCAGCAGGGTTTGCAACAGCAAAAAAATGAAATCGACAGTCAAGTCAACGGGAAAACGAGGTATTCCCAGTTCGCGACGGCCGCCCTGCAGCAGTGAGCAGTCAGGAGCTCCGCGGACACGCGTCCACGAGAAGGAAGGGCAGACACACGCACAGGAGGCCACCTCTGTGCATTCAGAGCACGTGCGAAGAGTGCTGCATAGTCTTCAGGGTTTATGCAAAAAGTAGTCAAAATGGATGACAGCCCTACGGATTCATGGTCATGGCTGCCTCTGAGGGGCGAGCAGAGTGACCCTGGGCCAAAGGTTTGAAGAATCAAAAGTATTTAACACTTTTTCTGTTTTAACTTAAAAATGACATAAAGCAAACACTGTCCATTTTCTGTGGTGGAAGCAAAGTATTTTTATCTTATTCTCTGTACTTTCCTACATTTTACTCTCTCTCCAAAAAAAAAGAAAAACTCCTTTAAAAAAACAGGTCCTGCCTGCTTCAGGCTCTGAGAACAGCTGCGGTGCTGAGGGCAGCGCTGGGCCCGGCCTCCGGCGTGGGCTGGGCTGGGCTGGGCTGGGGGCGGGCGTCGCCGCGGGGACAGCACCGCAGGGGCTGTGCTGCACAGGCCCAGTGGGACAGGCCCGGGGCCCCCTCACCCAGCGGCTCCATGTGGGTCTAGTGTGGCCCGGCAGTGGGGGAAGGGCGCCTGCACAGGGACCCAGAGACTCAGCTGGGGGGGGGGAGGGGCTCCGCCCCCGACCCGCCAGCCACTGGCTTGGGGGGGGACAGTCACTTCCCAGCACTGCCCCGCCCCCGCGCCCCGCCTGGCCAAGGTCCCAGGCTCTCACCGCTGCTCCTGGGCCGCGATGTGCAGAGAGTCCATGATGAGGCGAACTGCCTCTGCAATCTGCTTCGCCCGGACCGTGTGTTGCTCAAATTTGGTCTTCACTGCAGACTGGGAAATGCATTCCTGGAAGAGACAAGAGGTGCTGAGGGACGCCACCAGAGGCCACCAGCCAAGGGTCAGGCTCTGGTTTTCACTGCCAGGGACATGGCCAGTGACAGCTGGGGAAGCCCAAAAGCACCAGAGACCAAAATCAAAGGACTCACCTCAAACCTCCTCTCAAAATTCTGAAACTCAAGCATCCTCACTTGAAAGCCTTCTGCAAGAGCGCCCCCTAGGAGAATTGCAGAACATTAGTCTGGAAGTAACTTGGCAACAGAAGAAAACGGTAAAAATCCACAAAGCCAAGCCTATGGGGCACTTGGCCAAACACTGGCCGGGAAGCAAAGAGCTGCTCGCTCAAGGCTCTTCTCACCACCTCCTTCTCAGAACTGTTTTCTACCAGCTGACTTAGCACGAGAGTAAATGTCTCAAACATTAGGGAAGAGGAGGAAGTTGGTCCCATCGTCACCTCCTTCGGGCATGCCCTGGGCCTTCTGGATCCTGGCGTTGAGCACCTCCTTGGCAGACACAAAGAAGATGCGGTCTCCAGCCTGGCCTCGATCCACCACGCCCAGCTCGTCCACCAGGAAGCCGGTACAGCGCTCCATGTGCTGCCGCCGCACCTGGAGCCCAAGCAGACGACAGTGTATGTGGCCAAGTAGGGCAGGTGGGCCCCTCCGGATGGGAGCCCCCCGGTCCCTGACTGCTTCTCTCTAAAGAAAGGGTGATATGCCCTGGCCCATGTGGCTCGGTTGGTTGGATCACTGTCCCGTAAACTAAAAGGTCATCGGTTTGATTCCCGGTCAGGGCACATGCCTAGGTTGTGGGTTTAGTCCCCAGTCAAGGCACAAACGAAAGGCAACCAATTGATGTTTGTCTCTCAAATTGATATTTCTCTCCCTTCTTCTCAGTAAGCATGTCCTCAGGTGAGAATTAAGGGAAAAAAAAAAAGGTAACATATGCATACCGTTCAGTATTCAAAAGGTACACCCAGTGACCCTCCCACCATTTCTGCACTCTCGGGGTACAGTGTGCCTAAGGTATTTTATGTATACAGAAGCAGAAATGCCAAAACACGCCCCCACTGCCTGTTGTTCGGGCCTACACACTGTCTCACTTTCGTGCCCTGGAAGGAAAGGAAACCGGGAGCTGAGAAACCTAAACCTGGGCTCTAGACTCGCCAGCTGCATCCTCTCGGGCCTTGTTTATGAAACGAGCATACAGTCCTGTCTAGCTCTGACGCCCTAGGGTTCCACTGCTACAATGTACAAATGGTGACAGCCTCTGTGGACGCCTGCCGTGGACCACGTGCTTTTCTCAATGGTAAGAGACGTCATCCTCACAGTAACTCTGTGACAGCCATCTCAGAAGTGAGGTATTTGCCAGAAGGGTTAAGGAACTTACCAAAGTCACACTGCCCAATGTCCGCCTGCTGACTACACTCTATCATTCCTTATTGCCAACCTGTGACCCCATTTTCTTTCATTTCACACAAGAACCAACTATTCTTCTCTCCTCCTTTAAGCCTCCCTTCTGCATGTTTTCCTAAAGCTGAGCCCACTCTATGATGACTAATTGTTTATGAACCAAAGTCAGCACCAGCCCCAAACAAGGGTGAGGCCAACATGGGGAAAAGCTGGGGGTGCTCTTCAGGCCTGGATGGAGACCTTCTGAAGAGCAGAGGGATCTGGGAAAGTGAATGGGAGACGTGACGCAGTGTCTTAAAGCCAGGAGGAAACCCCACAGTGACCAGAGGGGACACCTGGGAAATCCTTCAGGGAGATCATGGAGCTGGGGCAGCCTGTGTGTGAAGGGGCCCTAGGTGCACATGTGGGGTGGCAGCGCCCAAACCGCTGAATAACGAGGCACTGACCTCCTCCATGTACTCGGGCTCCGAGGCAGACGCATCCCAGCGGTTGTTCAGGATGAAGATATTGGGGCGGGACAGGCGCTCGCTCACCTTGTGGAAGAACTGCTTCTCCTGGAGGAAGGGGAGAGGCCTCAGTGGAGGAAGCGCCGGGTCAGCCCCAGCCCCAGCCCCAGGAGTGCGGGAAAGGCGGAGGAGGGCCTACCGTCTGCATCAGGGTGGACTCCGAGTTGGCCACCAGCACAAACACATCAGCATCCAGGCAAAACTTGTCAATCCAGCTGTCCAGCTCTGTGGTGACATCGATGCCAGGGCTAGAGGTGACAGAGGCAAACCAACATCAGGCACACAGACTGTGGGCCCTGTTCTTCCCGCTCCGACAGGCCTGGGGCAGCCAAGCAGAGGAAGGAGACAGCCACAGAGGGGAGGGCGAAGGGGCCTACTGTTCCTCAGTGAAAGGATGTCTACTTTTCATTTCACAACATTCCAGCCTGTCTGAAAATATGTTTTCTGCCACGTGCATCTATCAGTTTTACAAAAACATAATGACACAATTTCACTTTGGAGACAAACAATTAAGGTGAAGCGCTGCATTTGTGTGAGTCCAATAAGCACTACAGCACCATGTTCCTTGGGACAGTGCAACCTGCCCACAAAGCAGGGGGAAAGTGCAGTGCTCCTTCGACAGAAATAAAGTACCATGTGGACACTACCCACGCCACCCTCACACACACTGGGCTGCGGCTTGGCCACCCTGCCTGTCCCTCTTTACAGCAGAGGCCATCACTGGGACATCGTTGGGGCACTGATGCCAGTGGGCACCGTCACCAGACGCTGGAGGAACTCCACGAGGCAGGAGGATCTGGTGGCGCCGCTCCAAGAGGCAGTGATACATAAGCAGATCAATGACAAGGCTGAGGGGACGCTGGCTTAAACAACCATGAAATATGACACCCGGTCCTCCCGTGTGTCCTGGGGAGGCACCTTCCCTCTTACCTGTCCATCAGCACGAGGTCATCCTTCAGCAGAGGGCACTTGGAGTTGGGCCACATCACACTCACCAGGCTGCCGGCATGCAGCTGCTCGTTCTGGTGGAGGGCGTGCGCCAGCTGGTTCACAGTCTGGTGGGGAGCAGGGAGAGGGGTCAGGGCCGAGGACCAGCCACCAGCCCGGTTCCCTGTGCTGCCTGGCACGGCACAGTGGCCTGAGACAGCTGCCCGCTCTGCTACGCCCTTCCTTTCATTTCACACATGAAAAGTCAAGATTTGGGTGTTGCCAGTTAGAACCAACTCTTCTTCACTCCTCTTTTAAGCTTCTTTCTTAGATACTGTCCTAAAGCTGACGGTGTTCTGCATTAAGTCTTTATGAACCAAAATGAGCTTCTGGCCCCACACAAAAATGTAACTGGCTCTCAGAAAAAGTAAAATGTACAAGCGCCAGCTGGTACGTCAGAACCACAGAGCCAACGCAGGAATTGCTCTCTGGCAACATCCCCAAGAAGAACAAGGCGCCTGCTCTCTTCATGGCAAGAGAGGAGTCAGAGGGCCTGCCGGGCAGCCCGCAGGGACTGAAGACTCTGGTCCCCGGGTGCCCCAGGGCCTGACCCTCCCCGAGGCCCTCTCCCCTCCTCAGCAGCCAGGGCACGGGCTTCCCACGTGCCACTGCCGGGGCACCGCCCTCTCCTCGGAGGCGCCGTTAGTCCCACAGAGCCACTTGGGTTAAGCCCTGACTCGCTGCCAGGGTGCCCAGGGCTGAAGGGGGGGCCACAGCGCTGCACCCTGCGGTGCCCACCCCGGTCCTGCACGGCCCCTCACCTTGATGCTCCTCTTCTCCTCTGAGCCCTCTGTGAGGAGGAAGGCCTCATGGCCATCCGTGCCCTCCACACGCAGGAAGCAGTTGGTGGTGTGGCCGATCCCAGAGGGCAGGACTTTGTCCCAGAGCATGGCATTGATCACGGTGCTCTTCCCGTTGCTTGTCCTGTGGGACGGAGATCCTGCTGTCAGCGAAGCCACCAGCATCTACACTCTGGGCTTCCACAAGGAAGTCCAAAGCCTTGCTCTCCGCAGTGACGCCAGTGGGCGCCAAGTTTGTGGAGATGGCCGGACGAGCCCCCGGGGCCTGGGCCCGTGGTCCCTCACTGCAGACCGGCAGGCAAGGGGCTCACCCAGTGCGCTGCCAGCACGATGACGCGTAACCTGCCCTTAAAGAGGCCTGCCACCAACCGTGAGCCTCTCAGCACCACCACGGAGACCACCTGAAGGAGACCCGCAGATTCTGTTTGAAACCGCTGACACCCTCCGTCCAAGTGACCTCAGCTGAATGACCCCAATGTCCCTGGTTTCCCACAGAATGCCTGTTTTGCCACTCCTCTCCCACGCACCCCCACGGCCTCCTCCTCACACGTGAAGTCCCACCACGTCCCTCCCAGCTGAGAGCTGCTGGCAACAGGGGAGAAGGCGGCAGCCTGCTTGCCGACCACATCCATTTCCTGGATCCTGGGGCCTGAAAACAGCTCTGCTCGGCAGACTCGCGGGCTCCAGCGCTGCCACGCCTCCAAGGTGAGGATGAAGCCGGGACAGCCCAGAGGGGCTGCGGGCCACACCTGAGGCGGTGGGTGATCAGAGGCAGGACTCAAGGCAGAGCACCTATTCCTCAGGCCACCAGGCCACTGCTGTGTGCAGCAGACAAGCTTCCTGGGTGCCTTGCTTTTTCTTTCCTACATGGGAGTTTAATTTCCTAAGGTGCTGTGGTATAAGGAGAAATACATTTTGTCCTTGCCCTCAGTTCCTGGCTCCTAAAATCCTTGGAATGCCCTGAATGACAGAAATGTCTTCTGTCACTCACGAGCAGCCCCATCCAAGCACAGCTGTTTATGCTAAAAAGGTGACCCACGGTGGGGTCTCTAGATATTCTCAAGGTAGGCTGGTCACCAGAAAGACCAAGCGATGAGAGGGCAGGACTCTGGACAAGGAAAGGGGGGGCTGCCGATCAAGCCCCATAAAAACTCTTCAGCGATGAGGGGTGATGAGCTTCTGGGGCCACGGGGGCATCACAGGCCTGGAGGGGGTGCGGCCCCACCCTCCAGGGCAGCTGCCACTGTATGCAAACCCTCCCAGACCTCGCCTGTGACCTGTGCACCTGGCTGGTCCTCTTTGTGTCCTTCACAGTCAAGACAACTCTTAATAAACAGAAGGCAGAAGTAAACGCTTCCCTGAGCGTTGCGAGCTGCTCTAGCAAACTAACCAAGCTCGAAGAGGAGGTGCTGGGAACCTCCCCGTTACAGCCAGCCCGTCAGGTGTGGGTTTCCGGGCAGCGTCTGGAGTGGGACTGCGCGGGACTGGCCCCGACCTGTGGGATCTGACCCTCTGTCCAGGGGGATAGTATCAGAATCGTGGTCACTTTGTAGGACCCCAGTCAGTGTCCACTGAGAATGGGGGAGTGGCCAAATCACACAGAAAACATCCCAGAGGTGCCTTCTAGACCTCGTGTAAGTGTAAGAAGAAGATCTGATGGCTTCTGCTTATAGTTTTAACTATAAAACTCTTAGAAAAAAACATAGGGAAATGCCTCGTGACACTGAATGTGGCAATTTCTTCAATATGACACCGAAAGCATAGGAAACAAAAGTACAGATAAGTTGGGACTATATAAAAATTAAAAACTTCTGTGCATCAAAGAACATAATCATCAGAATAAAAAAGCAACCCACGGAAGGGGAGAAAATATTTATAAGTCATGAGTCTCATAAGGGGTCAATATCCATAATATATAAAGAAGTACAACAACTCAAAAAAAATTTTTTTTTAATGGGCAAAGGACTTTAACTGATATTTCTCTAAACAAGGCACGCAGATAACCAACAGGCACCTGAAAAGATCCTCACCATCACCAACCATCCGGGAAAAGCAAATCGAAACCACAGTGAGGCACCACTCTCTCCCATTAGGATGGCTACTCTCCAAAGGACAGAAAACAAGTGCTGGGAGGGTGTGGAGGAGCTGAAAGCCTCGTGCGCTGCCGGCAGGAACGTAAAATGGTGTGGCCACAGCGGAAAACAACATGGGGGTTCCTCAGAAAACTAAACACAGAACTACCGCATGATCCAGGAATTCCACGGCTGAGGGCGCGCCCCAAAGAACTGCGAGCAGGGGCTCGAGCAGATTACGTGCCCACCCATGGTCACAGCAGCACTACTCACAATAACCAAAAGGTGGAAGCAACCCAAGTGTCCCCCATGGATGGATGGACGAATAAAATGTGGTCCATACATACACTGGAATATTATTCATCCTTAAAAAGGAAGGGGATCTCACACATGTCACAGCACGGATGGACCTTGAGGACGTTATACTAAGTGCAATACGCCAGTCACACAAAGACAAATACTGTGTGTTTCCACTTAAGAGAGGTTCCTAGACAGAAATTCAGAGACAGAAGCAGAATGGCGGTTACCAGGGGCGGGGGCGGGGGCAATGGGGAGTTAGTGTTCAGGGGGCACAGTTTTAGTTTTGCACAATGAGGAAGTTCTAAAAATGGATGGTACGATGGCGGCACAATGAACATGTGTTCAACACTACTGAACTGTACGCTTAAGAATAATCACAATGATAAATTTTATGCAGTGCATTTTGCTATAAGTAAAACTTGAAAAATAAGAGAAGAGCCTCAGGGTGCCCAGACTGGGGTGGCACAAGGCACCCCCCTCCAGTTGGGAAGAAAGAAGGTGTGAGGACTTCAAGGACTCACCGGCCAAAAAAAGCCACTTTCATGTGCCGCCGGGCAAGCACCTCGCTGATGCCCCTCACTTTGGACAAGTAGCCTTTGACATCCAGAACCTGTTCTTCTGTCGTAACAGGGTCCAGTTCTGCATTCCTGTAGGTGTCTGGGGGTGGAGATGGAAAATGGGTCAGCACCTGGTCCAAGCAGCTCCGCTGCCACAGGCCGGAAGGCACGGAGTGCACCACCCGCCGCGGCGGCTCCCGGCTGTGGCTGGGCCAACGTGCAGATTCCCTGCTGTGGGGCCACAGTTCCAGGGCCAGGATGTGCTGGCCTCACCTCGTCCTGGCCTTGTGCCCTGGGGGGAGCGGGGCCGGTCTGGGCCTTAGTTCCCTCCCCTGAAAGTGGAGATAACAGTACCTACCTCATGGGACTCCTGCAAGGAGAAGTAAGTGAAAACACAAAAAGTGCTAAAAATGGTGTCTAGTACATGATGAATTCTCAAATATTAACTGCCGTCATTTCCTTTTATGTGTATTACTTAAATACTTACACAGTCCCCGCTACATGCCAGGCACCGTCCTGATCACTTCTCCACCAGTGTCATTTGCCAACCTCAGAGTTAGGAAACAGCAGAGCCAGGAAAGGGGCCAGGCCTCCTGGCTCCGGAGTCCGGCTCCCAGCCGTCCCGCGCCCTTCCCCGAGGCCCCTCCCGACTGGGCCCTGCCTCCTGCTCCCACGGGGTCTCTCGTGGTCCCGCTGCCTCACGTTCCACCTCTCCATGCCCCTCCACGCACCGTGCTGCTGCATTACTCTGGGCTTTGCTCAGGGCTGCCCCCGATCCCTGGCCCCGCTCTGAAGGATGAAGGTACGGTCCTGGGCCCCTCTGGCTCGCTCCCACTTAGCCCGAGGTCTAGCTTGGACTGCACAGCCCGCAGGAAGCCTTCCCTGCCACCCCCAGCCTGAGCCAGGTCCCCTGCTCCGCGCTTCTGTCTCAGCACTTCCCTCACCGACGTGTGATCGTCTAGCTTACCTGTCTGCGTCATCTACCGTGTGGTGGCCAGACTGCCTGCTCCTAGCAGCCAGCACCCTGCGCCCCGCAGGCATGCAATGTTTGCTAAGTGAAGGAACGCTGGGATCGCTGCACTGTTTTTTCCCAGTGGCAGATGGATAACAAATATGACAGGAGCAACTGAGCAAGACACTGCCCCACCCCACCTACAGCTGGCACCAGGAAGATGCCCCAGCAGGCTGGGCAGTAAGTGGGCGTTTGCCCCCCGCCCCCCAGCATAGCCTTGCTGCAAGGGACTAAATACTTATGTCTGCTCCATGTGATGTGTGCAGTATGACGGCCTGTGGAGGCGGGGCCTTTGGGACGTCATGACGATGAAGCACTCGCGACTGGAATTAATGCCCTTATTTTTAAAACGGACCCCAGAGAGCTAGCCAGATCCTTCCGTCAGGTGGTTACAGGTAAGGTTACACAGAAAGGACAAGAGTCTAGAGAGCTGGCCCTCACTAGCCACGTCTGCTGATGCCTTGACCCTGAACTTCCCAGCCTCCAGAACTGTGAGAAAAACATTTCTGTTGTTTATAAGCCATCCAGTCTATGGCATTTCCATTCTAGCAGCCCAAACAGACTAAGACACTTGTGAACCACTGGGCTGACAGGCCCAGCCCGGAGAACACTCCCGCAGCATCCGGAACACAAGTGGCACTTCCGACACCACCCAGGGAGTTTCTCCTGCCGCCGGTGCCACCCTATAAAACCTTCCATATGTCCATTTGTCCACAGCACCATCCAGGTAAGTGACTCAGAGGCTTAATCTGGGCTCTGGGGGGCAGTGGCCCTGTTGGCCCCATCTCCACGTGCCCACTGCCAGGCACCCCAGAGCCACCGCTAAATAAGCACGTAACAAACTAAAATAATTTCACTGGAGTAATTTCAACAACCAGTCTCATACCTTTAAAATTCAGATTTTTAAATTTAACAAATATTTAAGAAATACTTTCTCTGGCATCAAGCACTGTGCTAGGGGCAGGGCACAGAGACTAAGTCTATTCCTAGTCTCAATCTGTTTGGGCAGCCATAACGCAGTACCGAACCAAGTGGCTTACACACAGTAGAAATGTGTCGCCCCGTTCTGGTGGCTGAAGACTCAGACCAGGGTACCGGCCTGGTTGGGTGCGGGCCGTTCTCCCACTCGCAGCCTTCTTGCTGTGTCCTTACCTGGTGGAAGGAGGTTAGCGAGCTCTGTGGGGTATCTCGTACAAGAGCACAAATCTCACTCACGAGGGCTCCACCCTCACAGCCTAATCACTTCCCAAAGGCCCCACCTCCCAACACCACCACGGGGGCCTTAGGACTGGGGAACACAAACATTTGGACCATGGTACTGGACGTACTTCCTTTTTCCCAGTAGCAGCCTGATCTGTAAACCAACCGGAAGCCAAAGCTCTGCAGTGGAAAATAGGGTGAAGTGTGTCCTGGGGCATTTCCACTGAACTTCGAGGGCTCTGCAGACTCCTCCTAAGTGAGGAGACCACTGGCAGAGAAGACTCAGCTACTGGGTTGTCACCAACAGTCCCAGGCCCTGGAGCCAGGTGTGCCTTCTAGAGGGAGTCTGAGAAAGTCAGTGGCTGGAGGTGGCGCTCAGACTGAGCGGGATCCTGGAAACCGGTCCTTCCCCGGGGATAGAGCAGGGACTGCAGGCTGGGCTCAAGTTAGGAACTCATGAAAAAGGTGCCAGTGATGCAAGCTTCCTATTCATAGTCCTGTTGCCTAAAAATAACAGCGAGCTCCCCGTTCAGAAATAAACAACACCCAGAAAGGGCCTGGGCCTGGGCGTCCGAGACACCTGCGTAGGCCCCCGTGTCACCTACAAAGTTTCACACAGCTCTCGATTGCAGCGCACTGGTGTCTTAGAGAGGGATGAGAGTCACCCATCCCTCGTGGTGAAACGGAACGGTACACACAGGATTCTTAGGTGACAGGTTTCGTGTCCTGGCCAATCTCCCTGCAGCCCAACTCCACACGCTTCCAGGCAGAGCACTGCTGAAGGTGACAGCCACCTGGGCATGAGCTCCCCGAGGGCAGGGCTGCGCCTGCCCACCCCCAAATCCTGCCACCTAAACCACCAAACCGCCAGGCGTCGGCCTGGCTCGGCACGCTGCCTGTCTCACCTTCCAGGAAGGTGGCGCTCTCTTGGATGTAGGCCCCCAGCTGCTCAAAAATGCCATTGATCTTCTTCTTGGCAGTGACAAAGTGCTTGAGTGGAGAAGCATTCACCTCAGCCATGTGTCTCTTATCCTTCTTGACTGTGACAACAGAGTTGCATCGAGAGAAGAACAGGGACATTGCGCTGCAAGAGAAGACAACATGAGCGAAGCAGGCACACCCATCGCGGACGTCCGCTAGGGCCACGGCGGGGTGCAGGAGGGGGCCCTGGGCCCAGCCCTGGGTCCACCGAGAACGCGGGGCCCTCCAGGACCAGACAAGGGCTGGTGAAATAAGAGCCACATCCCAAGAGTAGGAAAGGACCTCGCAGGACACGAGGACCAGTCTCCTTGTCACACAGCACAGGCACTCAGACCCTGGCGCCCGCGCCCGAGTTCAGGCCAAGTGCTGGCCGTTCCTTGCCTGTTGACCAACGGCAGGGCCTGCCTCCCTCACCTCAGAGACATGGGGAGGAATCAAGAGGTGATGCAGGGAAGCCCTCCTCTGCATCTTAGGCAGTAAAGCGTGACAGGAATCCCACTCATTTCCTATAACCTGAAAAAGCACTGAATATTGAGAGCAGCGAGAGCGAAGTGACGCCCGACGTCGGTGACTCCCACCCACCACTCTCCCCGGCCACCCTGCTGCCCAGGTCCTGGCAGCCCTAACTTCTAATGGAGTTTGGTTTCGGGGCTGGGGTGGGGGGCACAAGGAAGGATGACCCTCAAGGGAGAGGTCTATAGTTTAGTTACAAACATTTACTGGTCTCATAGTCAATGTGTGCGCAGTTGAAGACGTGGAAACTGAAGGTAAAAAGACCCATAGCCCCACTGTGAACAAAAGAGGTACTATGGAGTAACTCCGACCAGCTCAGTGACCAAAGGACCCTCATGATTTTTTTATGTACTATTTTAAGGACATTTCTCCCGTATTTTTGCGAACATATTAAAATTGTTGCGGCTGCACTATAAATTACATCGGCACCCCCCTTTTGTTGGATGTTACCAATTTTAAGTTATAAACAGATCTAATGTGATCAAAAAAATAAACAAACAAGAAAGTAACCTCACAGGATGATCTGACGGTAAGTTCCCGGGAGGGTTACGTGGGCCATCACACCTCAGGCCTGCGTCTTCCTCAGCAGGCCCACCTTTGCCTTAGCTTTTGTTCTTAGGTGCGCAGCTCAGCACACCTTTGAAATATCCTCCTGGGGGCACACGTGTGGCTGCCCAAATACCACCTCTATTCACTGCAGATGTTAAATGCCAGCTGTTCTGTCCCACCAATGTAAAAGAAGCGTGCATCTCTCCATTTGACTTTTTATCCAATCAGAGATTCCCCGGTTTTGCTCTCCCCTCCTCCAATTATTAGTCTGCCACCCGGAATTTCAAGTAATAGTCCTTAAATTCCCTCCTCTAATTCCAAATGCATAAAAAAGAACTGCAAAACCACTACTGTCCATTGCATTTTCTCAGTCTTGCTTCTGGGCAGTCCTGAGTTTGACTCTAACACACGCTCATAAAACACTTCTCTAAGCTTGGAAGTTCTTGGGTGGACGCCACCACCCTGCGACCAGCACGGGTACAGTGGCCTACCACCCCAGCCTGGCTCTCACTCAATCCCACATACATCATCTTAGCCCATTTTTTCCCAGAGAGCAGTAACATGTTCGGGGCCGCAAGACTTGACTCCGAAGTCCGAGAGATCTTTGGCTACAGTCAAAAGGGCAGACAGATGGGAGACGGTGGCACCCAGAGGTGGCTGGGAGTCTCTGGTCCCAAAAGCAGACTGTTCCTGAGAGATCCCGCAACACACAGAGCTAGTTTCCCAGCAGAGCCCTCGGGTCCGAGGAAGAGGACAGAAAAAGGCCCCTCCAAGGACAAGGCGGAATGTGCACAGCCGTGCAGAGCGCCTGGCTCCGCCCTCCACAAACCCCCGCCCAGCAAGTTCCCGTCAAGCACTCCCTCTCCAGGGGACCCATCACAGCGCCAGCAGCCCTGCCCACCCCACCCCCTCGCGCGCCAGGCACTCCTGCGCTCTCTCACTCTCTCTGGGAAAGAAGAGAAAGAGGAAGGCGTTGCCCATGAGGAGCATATTTGAGAAACTTGCAAAGGGTGCCAAAGGGTGTTGAGTAAGTCCCTCAGAAGCAGAAAGAACACCTAGGAAAAGCAGATTTAGCATAGTAACTGAAAACTGGCTCTTAGGACTAACCATCCCACAGGGTGGGCAGAAAGACAGACCCACAGGGAAATGGGGGCCCATGTGTTTTGCCTAGACCTACGAATTACTTGCGCCATTAATGATTTCTGGAGAGACAGGGGAAGTGACTCTGTGTCCGTTCCTCCCTGCCTCCTCAGTGAAACACCACGACTGTGGGAGTGACTGTCTTAGCAGGGAGGCCACCTGTCGAGGGCTTCCATGAGAGGGCCAGCTGCGCCCCGGGAAGGAACACCGGGAAGCCATATTACGGCCTCCCCCAACGCTGGAAACGGGAGAGCGCTGACCTCAGGCTCACGGTGGCCCAGCAGCTAAGGCTGTCAGAGAAACAGGGACGCATGCCAGGAAGGAGGAAAACCACCAGAGGCAGGGGAAAAGGGATCTGAGAGGGGGCATGATGTAGCTGGGGAGATGACAGATTCTGGGATGACACACAGCTGAGTTCAAATTGTGCTTGGTCTATTTCTGGGCTACATAACCTGGGCAAGTTATTTAACCTCAGAGCCCTGGATTCTTCCTGTGTACAGCAGGAGTGATACCACAGACCGAGAACACGAGGAATGACACCGCACAAGCGCAAAGGGAGCTCTACGTGTTATATAAAGCACCAACAAACTCACCAGCGAGATTACAACACCCAGCCTTCAGGGGAAGGCAGGTGCAACCCCACAACACACCCACAGCTCCCCCACCTGCGGCCTGGAGGATGGAGTAAACAGGTCTGTCCAGGGGTGAGGACAAGCAGTGCTCAGCACCAGGAGTAACCTGCTTGCAGGCAGCAAGCTCCCTGAGATCAGCTGGGCTTTTAGAAGCAAGTGCTTTCAAGTTCTCGCCATTGTATATAGCCATTCATATCAAAGGACAGGAAACCACAAGTGTTAGTGTTCGGTGAGTGCAAGATTCAAAGGCATGCACACTAGTAAAAGGTCAGTGGTTCGCCGTTACAAGGTGGGCTGCGACTCTGGCTCACCCAGGAGCTGACCCGCTCCCACCACGGCCAACGTGCAGCGTCATGCCCAGGCCCCACGTCGCTCACGTGGAAACTCTCGCCCCTCCAAGCTCCGATTTCTCTGGTTAATTCCCAAGCTGAGATTCCATGTTTGTGCTGCACTTGCTTCTTTCAGCCTGGACTCCTTTCTTTCCTTTTTCACCCATTCTCATTTCTACTGTCCTTCTAGACGTAACTCTAGAGTCACCCCCACCATGATGCCTTCCCTGATGTCTCCATGGAGGACATGCAACCTGCCCAGACGTTTTGGTTTTTCACTACACTGTCTCCCTGTGTAGTCTATGAACCTCTAGAAAGCCAGTCTCTGACACAGAGCACTGACCTATTTCCATTCCTACTTTCCTCCTCCACAACTGTGAGAAACATGGTTTGAGCTGTGGGGAGTACCTTCTTACCCTCCCATCCCTGGAATACACAAATCTTTTTTCATAAAAAGCAGCTTTTGACTAAGGATCTGTCTCTTAGTATTTGGAGCTCAGTGAGTCAAGAATTGAACAATGGTTTCAGATTCCAGAATTTAATCCTTCCAAAGAGCAACCTGGACAAGCATAGGTGTACAAATGGACCAAAGTTGCAAAATACATGCATACAAGCCAAGACAGGGCCCCTTACTATCTTGAGGCTTCGCCTGCCAGCTTCCTAGCCTTCCAGAGTGGTGGGAGGCGGCTGGGTTCCTGTTCCTCCTCTGGAAAGTCCTGATAGTCCCTAATTTATCACAGGGCTCACCGCAGGCATGCGGGGCCGGTCCCCCAGCATAGCTGCGCCAGAGTCCAGCTCCCATGCCAGCTGCACACTATGCTTCAAGATGTTGTAACTGCTGCAAAGTATTCTTAAGGTCATGGTTTCAGACAGCTTACGGCAGCATCTCCCAAAGTGTGGCCCACAGCACTCTGGTGCACCCACGCTCCATGTAGAATCCACTTACAGAATACTATGTAATGCTTCCGACCCTTTCCATTGGAGCATATGAGCACAGTAAAGACTGTTGGAAAGACACTCGCTAAACTGAAATAGTAAAGCCAGCCTTTCAAATATTTATCCGAAGAAACCTTCTTCTATGTAACAGTTTTCAAAATCCTGAGGATCACGCTTTGGGAAAAGCCTCCTTCATCCTGGTAGTCTCCCACTCCCACCCGGAAGAACTGCAGAGGGCACAATGCTAACAGATTGTTATTACTGTTAACCTAAAACCAGAAGCAAACCCAATTCTAAACTGACACTATTAGCACGCCAAGATAATCAAAAGCTCTGCCTCGACTTAAGCTATTAGTAGAGAAGTATCAGGCGCTTCGGTGTAGGGGGAGCAGTAGCAAAACTCACTGCAAGGTGCATTTGGATCTCAAGCACAGTCCCTGGATCCACACCACCTCCTTACCCAGATTTATGTACAGCAGCTCCTAGCAGGGAAAAAAAATGGATCCACGGATCGTCTGCTGGCACAACGGGAGCAGAGGAGAAGCTGAGAAATTGAAACAAATGAGTATACAGGGTACAGGAGGCAGAGCTGACCAGTAGAAGAGCTGCGATAAGGAGCCAACCTCTGCTAGGCAAAGAGGGGGCGGGTAGAGCCAGCACAACAGAAAACAAACAAGGAAGACTAATTCTGCAGAGAGCCCCGGAGATCCCAGCTACTGTCTGAACTTCAAACAGGCTTCAAACAGGCTCTGGGCACCCAGTGAACCTCTCCATGGAAGTAGAAAGGGCACAGTTTTTCAACACAGGCTGGAAAACTCCAGCTCTGTGCAAAGACGACCCCACCCAAGAGACTTGTCACTGGATGACTAACAGAGCCTGTCCCCTTCCACTCAACCCCGATCCAGGGCACCAGACGTCACAGCCACCACTTACTTTTTGGATGGTTAGCGCCCTTCACAAAGTGGGCATCGTGGACATGGTTGGGTCAGAAAGACGAAAGGTATTTCCGTTCTCCTCTGTCCTGTCTCAGGTTGAGGTTGGCTACTGGTTATGTTAACTGCACCAGTTGTTCCAACTTTGGAAAGAAAAGGAAACATGTCAACAGACAGCAAAAAAATAAAACAAAACCTGCTGTGCCAAACATGTCTAATCAGGGAGAACGTTAAAAAAAGTCATCCCTGAGGGAAGCTTACTCACTGAGGTAGTGCTGGATGATCTGCGAAGTGGTCTGTGGGAAAACCCAACCCGCAGGTATGGGGCCAATCCTGGGTGTGCACAAACACACAGCCAGTCGTGGGATGGCCAGCCATGGGCTGGCGAGAGGCAAGGGCGCCGGCAGAGGCCAATCCAGGGGGGTGAGAGGAGGGGAGGGGGCACAGCCTAGGACAAAGCCTGGGCTTGAGGGCTGTTTAACGGAGGACTCAAGATAGGAGGGTAGGGATGAGGGAAAGAAGTGGAACTTAGTGGAAAGCTTTGTGCGCCCGATGTAAAATGTCTCACTTAATTCTCAGTTCTATAGTGCAAAGAGAAGTTTGCCGTGCATGAGCTGAGAACTGAGATACCGCCTCCCTTTGACTCCAAAGCTCTCTTGTTTTCAATTATGTGAGGAGGACAGCAATCCAGGCCCTTTCTGGGAGGAGGGAAAGGGAGAAGATAGAAAATTAAAGAAATAAGGCAATGTAGAATGACAAGAGAGAGGAATGGGCAGCTTTGGCTTCACGCGTCCAAACAGCTAATTATCCGGCATCCTGTGTGTGCCCTCTTTGTGAGTGCTAGGCCGAAAATTAGGGATAGGTAAAAAACAAAAACCGAAACCAAAACCAGTCCCTGCCCTCAAGGGGCTTACCGTCGGTTTCAAGTCAAACAAGTAAATAGACAACCATGCGAGAGCGAGCGCAGTAAGTGCCCAAAGTAGAGGAGGTAGGCGCAGGGCGCTACGGTGATGAACGCCAGCACTCATCCTATGCGGAGTAAATGTTGGCCAGAGGACTGGCTAAGAAACCGGGAAAGGACGCGGGGAGGGGGCGGCGGTGGTGAACTGCGGCCCTGATGCCTGGGTAACCGCGGGCGACAGGGAGCCTCGAGAAACCCCACCTCGAGGCCCGCCCCTCCTCTCAGGGCCAAGGAGGGCCCAGCGGCGAGGCCAGAGCGTGGAGACGCCCGCCCGCCCGAATCTGTAACCTCAGGGCTCCCAGCATCCCACCGGCCCGGCCCGGGATCCGCAGGACCCGCCGGGCCGGACCGGGTCCGTCCCCACCACCCCGGCGTTCGCCCTCTCACCTTCACCTTCCCGGCCTCGCGGCCGCCATCATGCCGGCAACGTCATCAGCGAGCGCCAGTCCGAGGCGACGCGGGAGGAGAAGGAAAGACGCGCGCGTCACCAGCCTCCGCAGGTTTGCCGCTGTGGCCCTGGTGAGTCGCAGAACTCCGAGCTCAGCTGCTTGGATCCTACCACTCCTTATGGGTCAGGGGCCCGCCCGCTCGCGTCTGGAGAGGCGTCTCCGCGCGCTCCTTCACCCACCCGGCGTCCTAAGCCGATGACGTAAGCTCGGGCCTCCCGCTGCCTCACGGGGGCTGTAGTTCCGCCGGAGCCGGTCTGGACTGGCGTGGGCGGAGCCTGCAACTGTCAAAGGACAAAGAAAACAAGGGCGTGGATTAGAGGTTCCCGCTATTTGGTGGCCGAGAGCCTGATCCCAGACCTCTTGCTAGGTCTGGGACCTAAGCTTTCGTTTTGTGATTTTTAGAAAAGCGCTCCCAAGAGGAACGCAGGAAGCATGTTGGGGCCTGCTGCCCTTCAATTGACTTTGAGAAGAACAGTTAACAGCCTTGAGCTGATGCTTAGCATGCCGCATTTTATTTAACCTTCATAACAATTCTAGGAGGCTCAGAGAGATCACCCCAGCTCACATACGGCAGATCACTGGGCCTCATTATGTGCCAGGCACTGGGACACAGCAATAAACAGGTCTCCTGGTGGCCTCAGTCACAGCCTGGAAGACCCCATGCCTGGGTTCCCCAGTATGGCAGCCACTAGCCACGTGTGGCCGTGTGAACTGAGATGTGCTGTAAGACTTAGTACCAAAAAAAGTATGTAAGCGATCTCATTCACATTTTTGTATTGAGTATGTGTTAAAGTTGTAAGCCTGAAAAGGGGGATCTATGGAAAGTAACCTCACCAGGTGATGCGAGCATAAATTCCTGACTGGGCTGGTCATAGCCCAGGCATAGAACTCCTTTACTGAAATGCTTATCGTTTTCCTAAGCAAGCTGTGTCCATTGTTAATACACCTTTGAAATGCCCCCTCTGACTCCTCAAGACAGCACGTAATCTTAACTATTATGTAATCCCATTCCCAAATTGCTTCCTCCCACCGTCTGTAACCTTCCTTATAGTCCCTCCTTAATTTCAAATGCATAGAAGGTGCCAAACTATTAGTCTTCAGAGCATTTGAGATCTTGCTCTCTGGCATGTGTCATCAATTTGATTCACATATAAAAAATATTTCTCTACAAATTTGAATGTTTCTCATGTAGACAAAGTGATCATATTTTGGGTAAATTGCCTTAAATAAAATAGATAACTATTATTAAGTTCACCTTTTTCTTTTCATTCTTTAAAATGTGGCTACTAAAAAATCTAAGAGTGGTTTGCTCTGATATTGTAGTTTATAAGAAGAAATATATATATATTTGGTCTTTGTCCACTGTTCCTGATACATAGCTCCTGAAATCCTTATAATTTTCTGTTTGAAAACCATAGGGGAATCTTTTGTTACAATATTTACTTTTGTCTTCAGTTCCTGGAATAGCTCTGGAACTATGCAGATGAAAAGGTGAAAGTGGTGTCTCTCCTTATTTGTAACGAGTCCCCTTCAACCACATCTGAGTTGATGTTAACAAGTAACTTTTGGAAAACCTCCAAGGATAGGAGCTGGTCACCATGGGAACCAATGATGTGATTAGAAGGTTGGAACTTTCAGCCTCACCACTCCCTCAACCTCCTGGGAGCAGAGAGGAGCTGGACATTGACTTGATCACTAATGGCCAGTAATTTAATCAATCGTGCCTCGGAAACGAAGCCTCCACAAAAACCCCTGACTTACAGGGTTCCGAGAGCTTCTCGGCTGGGGAACAGTTGGAAGTGTCAGGAGGGTGGTGCACTTGGAGCTAGCGTGGAACTCCTCGCCCCTTCCCGCATACCTTGCCCTGTGCATCTCTTCCATTGGGTCGTTCCTAAGAACCCGAGGAGGGGCTCGCAGGAATCTGATTTATAACTGGTTAGTGTCGGGGAGGAAATATAACTTTTCTCCCACCCTTTTAAGTTCCTCAGGCTGGACTAATAATCAAATTAACGAGACAGATTAACAGGAGAAAATGACCAAACTTATTACGTATGTACATGCATGGGTTCTATAAGACTATGAGGCCTCAGTGCAGATGGAGACTCGGGGCCAGGCTCTTGGAGGTCACAAACCAAGAATTGGACTGACCACATAGATTCTGTAAAGCAAAGCAAGTGGGAAATTCATTAATGAAAGTACACTCCCCAAGACATGGGAGCAGGCCATCTCTGGCCAGGGAATGGCTATCTTCTATTGAATGGTTACAGGCTTTATAGGGTTTTTACTCAGGCTTCTACATGTGCAATTTCCCACAATCCTCCTTGACTGCACACTCGGGGAAGAACCCACAATGCTAATTACTATCAGGTGTCACAAGGTGACTCTCAGAAATCAGGATGATGACACCTGCAGTGTCTCAGGACTTCCTAGTCCATCTCCTGCCTCATCAGGACAGATGGGACAGTTAAGCCTTATATGCCATTTTGATCTAAGGAGAAAGGTAGGGGTTGTGATTTGGGACTTCAATGAGCAGGAAGGCAATTCGTGTAGAAATAGGAAAGTAAATGTTTAGTTCGGATGTTTAGGAGAAGGTCCAAGTTTCTTTTTGAGTCGTATCTTAAAAATAACCAGCTTAATTTGCCAACTTAAATGTCACTTCCTCATTGAGGTCTTCCCTACTGCTCATTTTAAAACTGTTTTCCACAAACTTATATCTGACTCAGTCATGTTAGTCATATTATGTCCTTTGTAATTCCTACAATGCATTGTTTGTCAATGCAGTTGTTTCCTGTATCTCTTAGAATATAACCCCTGAGAGATAGACCTGCCTCCTTCCCCACTCTATGCAAATAGTGCCCCCCCCCGAATAAAAGCTTAAAATAATCAGTATGGCACCCTGGCTGGTGCAGTTCAGTGGATTGAGCACCAGCCCATGATCAAAAGGCCGCCGGCTCGATTCCTGGTCAGGGCACATGCCTGAGTTGGGGGCCAGGTCTCCAACTGGGGGTGTGCAGGAAGCAATGAATCAGTAGTTCTCTCACACATGGATGTTTCTCTCCCTCTCTTCCTCCTTCCCTCCCTCGGTCTCTAAAAGTAAGTAAATAAAATCTTAAAAAAACATAATCAGTATGGCAAAAGGCATATTTTGAGTGGCAAACTCTGCTTCCCCTCAAGAGCCAGCACCCTGCACTTGTGACGAGTGTTTGGAGGGGGAAGGGCGGTCCTGTGGGGCTAAGCCCCTAACCTGCTGGATCTATTGCTATCTCCAGGTAGGGAGTGTCCAAATTGAGTTAAATTTGTAGGACACCCTTTCCGTGTCCGCTGAGAATGGGAGAATTATTTGGTGTGGGGAAAATCCCACACATCTGGTCATCAGAAGTTTCAGAAGTGGAGTATCACGTGAAGTGTAAAGGAAAACAGTCGAGTTTTATGTCCCCTGAACAGCGCTGGTCTGTAACCATGGGACAGTCTCACCACAAATACCTCAGGAAGCAAACTGGCTCCCATAGGATCAACCAGCTCATCAGTTCCCAGCGAGGCCAGTCAGAGGACGCCGCCCGGCCACACTGCCCTGCCCTGAGCGAGCCAGTAGCCTCGTGTCCCGAGAGTCAGACTCTGGACTGTGCAGCTGCCGTGGGGCACAGCCTTGGGGTGCGGCCAGGCCGCTGGGACGTGATTCACGGCAGGCAGGCCTGTCACACGCTGCCTTGTAGTGCCGCCAGCTGTCTGATGGCTTTCCCCAAGTTCCCTGGCCTGCCTGAGGGCACTGTCAGTTCTGCAAGGGCAGGCGCTGAATTCCACTTCCTTTCCCTTCTTTGGCAATCTTGCCCACACCAGCTGGGGGCCTGGAGGTCCTGCTTCCTAGACATTTGCCCCATCCATTCCCTCCTGCGAGCTCCGTCACTGCCTGGACAGCTGCGGGAGCCTCAGAAGCCCCTCGCCGCCTTCCAGGCTGCGCTCTGGGTCTCCTCTCTGAAACAGCTTCACGCTGAGCGGCCCTCCATGAGGAGACTGTCCCAGTTCCGCTGACAGTGTTGTTGGGGGGCAGTGCAGGCAGAGGGTGGTGTGCATTTGCAGATTTCTCTCTTCGATGTTACCTATTTCTATTTTGATGGCCTTTTTCATGGTGGACTGGAGTTGCATTTGTAATTTAAAAAAATAAGTTAAAAACACCCCCCCCCACACACACACCCCTCTTATATATTGGGTTGGCCAAAAAGTTCATTTAGTTTTTCCGTATGATGGCTCTAGTAGCGCTTAGTTGTCTTTAACTTCATTTGAAACAATTTTGTTAGATTGTCTTGTGACAGCTGTCATATCAGCGTGCCTTAAAAACTTCTCAAAATTGGCAGATTTTTATACAATCATTTTGATAGTGAAGATGGAAGAAAATACACATTTTTAGCATATTCTTTATTATTTCGAGAAAGGTAAAAACGTAACTGAAACACAAAGATTTGTGCAGTGTATGGAGAAAGTGCTGTGACTGATCCAATGTGTCAAAAGTGGTTTGCAAAGTTTCTTGTACTATTGACATTTTTGCCAAATAATTCTTTGCTGTGGTACTGTCTCTGGCATTGGAATATGTTCAGCAGCAGCCATGGCCTCTGCCCACTAGAAGCCAATAGCGGGAGATGGCCGACATACTAAAAATCAAAGTTATTGGTGAAAATGAAAAAAATGTGTCGTTACAGAAAAAACTAAATGGACTTTTTGGCCACACACACACACCCAGCTCAGAAAAGACACCCAAGAACAAATTAGGAATGGTTGCTTCTGGGGAGAACTAGGCAGGCTGCTGACAGATGAGAAAGGGATTAAGATTTATGCTGTCTGAATTTACCCCAGGACAATTTAAAAAACAAAACCTTAACTTGAGGAGGCATATGCAAAACCTCCAAATGACTCAACTAAATAGTAAAGTCCAACTCCTCCCAGGTGAAGTCCACTCTCCTAAGCCTGGGAAAACGGGTGTCAACCACCTGACGCCTGGCCCCCCACCCCCGGCCAGCCTGCATTCTCTGGCCCCACCTGTCTGTGCCTGGCTGGCTCCAGCCGCCCGACCTGAAGCATCCCTGCTTCCTGCAAACCTGTCCCCACCCAAGACCTGCTTTAATAGCCTCCACTCTCCGGCTTCTGTCTCAGCACTACTCGGATTTTGGCCTGGGCAATTCTTTGCTGGAGAGAGGAGCTGTCCTGTG